GCAAGACTCTTGTCTCTAAATAAAATATAAAAAGTGACTGGGTATGTGGCTCAGTGGTTAAGTATCCCTGGGCTCAATCCCCAGCACCAAAAAAAAAAGAAAGAAAGAAAAAGAAAAAAATTTGTTTTTTTCTTTACCTATCCTAATTATTTCCTTTCTTCTATTTTCTTGGTCATACTCTGTCATCCTTTTCTCAATCTTGAATTTATTCATTTCTAAATCTTTCTTCTTTTCTAATATATACATATAGGGATACAAATTTCAGGGGCTGGGGTGGTAGCTCAGTGGTAGAGCTAGCCTAGCATATGTGAGGCACTGGGTTTTATTCTCAGCACTGCATATAAATAAATAAAATAAAGGTCCATCAACAACTAAAAAAATATTTTAAAAAATTTCACTTCAAACCCCACTTTAACTGTATCCTATAAATTCTTATTTGGAGTGATTTTGTTGTCATTCTAACTATTTAATAATTTGTATTATAATTTATTTTTCAATCTGTGACATACTTAATAGGTGGGCTTGCGAAGTTTCCAAACATATTTGGGGGCTTTAGCAGTCATTTGTTGTTGCTATTTAATTTTCTTACATCTTGGCTAAAAAATGAAGTGTGCACAAAGTTGATTCTTCAGTATTTTTTGAGACTCTTAAAATAATCTAATTTGTCATCAATTCTTGAAAAAAATAATTTGCAAGGTTGAAACATAAGTACTTTCTATTGGCTGAGTGCACAGTTCTATGTATGTGTACTTTACCAAGTTTATTCCTTATCATGCTCAAATTTTCTATGTCCTCATTATTTCTCTGGTTGATTTATTAATAGCTCAGAAAATTTTAAAACTCCCAGAATGTTTATGGATGTCATTTATCCTATAACTAGGTCAAGTTTTGTTTTATATACTTTGAAACTATGTTGTTAGTATTTTGTGGATTTAAAATTGCTCTGTTTTCTTGGTGAATTATCCTCTTGTCATGTAGTAATAATATTCTTTATCCCTAATAATATATTTTTTAAAAAATTTAAACTCTACTTTGTTATTAGTATGATCACATCAACTTTTTGGGGGTTAGGACTGGCCTAGTATAACTTGTCTCACTGGATTACTTTCAACCTTTTAGTATTCTGTTTTAGTTTTGTCTTTTACAAATTACATATGCCTTTCTAAATATTTTAAATAATTTCTATTATTTGGATAATTAAAGCATGTACATTTATTGTGGACTTACCTGCATCTACTTCTGCTGACCTTTACTTTTATCACACCTTCTTTTTCTTACTTCCCACCCTTCCCATCCACCCTTTTCCTTACTTCTCTGAGAGAAATCAGATTTTCTTTATTTCACTATTGTTTGCAAAGTTATATGTTCTGCTTATATTATTTTAATGCTAATGCTTAGATTTGATCTCTTAAGATATATAATAATATCTTCATTCTCAGTTTTAACTCCTGTCTCTTCTTATTCTTCTTCCATATTATTATTTTTTAGTATTTATATCTCTTTGAACCATATCCCAAACTAATCTTTATCCATTCATCTATTGAAGGGCATCTAGGTTGCTTCCACAGTTTAGCTATTGTGAATTGAGCTGCTATAAACATTGATGTGACCGTGTTACTACAGTATGCCGATTTTAAATCCTTTGGGTATAGACCAAGGAGTGGGATAGCTGGGTTAAATGGTGGTTCCATTCCAAGTTTTCTAAGTAATCTCCATACTGCTTTCCAGACTGGTTGCAGTCCCACCAGCAATGAATGAGTATACCTTTCTCCCACATCTTTGTCAACATTTATTGTTGTCTGTATTCTTGATAATTGCCATTCTGACTGGCGTGAGATGAAATCTTAGAGTATTTTGATTTGTTTTTCTTACTAGATATGTTGAACATTTTTTCATGTATTTGTTGATCAAATGTATATCTTCTTCTGAGAAGTGTCTGTTCAGCTCCTTAGCCCATTTATTGATTGGGTTATTTGTTTTATTTTTTGGTAAGTTTTTTGAATTCTCTATATATCCTAGAGATTAAGGCTCTATCTGATGTGAGTGTGGCAAAAATTTGCTCCCATAATGTAGGCTCTCTCTTCACCTCATTGATTGCTTCTTTTGCCGAGAAGAAGCTTTTATTTTGAGTCCATCCCATTTATTAACTCATGATTTTATTTCTTGTGCTTTAGGAGTCTTGTTAAGGAAGTCAGGGCCTAATCTGATGTGATGAAGATTTGGGCCTACTTTTTCCTCTATTAGGCGCAGGATCTCTGGTCTAATTCCTAGGTCCTTGATCCACTTGAGTTTTCTGCATGGTGAGAGATAGCCCAAACTAATCTTTACTTTGTCTTATACTCCATGCTTTATTTATTTGAATTCTTCTCATTTTAAATTTCATTGCTATTATATATATTTTGCCAATTAAAAAGATGAATGAACTAGGTTTCTGAATTTTATGCTGAATTTTCTCATTTCTGTACATATGTGCAGATGTTTGAGATGTTTTCCAATGTCATTTTGTACAAGCTCTGAAATTTGCTTCTGACTTGCTTTAAAATTGAGATCAATTTATATTGGGTTCACTGGTTAGAAATCATTCTAAGATAAATATGTCAAGCTGATCATTATTATTTCTTTAGAGTCAATAGTTTGTTGACCTGGCTGAGATGACTGGGAGATGATGATGAGAAAACAAATGGGTCAGGGTTCTACAACTTTTTTCTAGTTGTTGGGGCAGGGTGGGGTTAGATGAGAAGGTGTGCAATTCTGTACCTATAGATTCATGGTATCTCCAAGCAGAACTGTGTTCAGAGTATTCTTGTTAGCCAGAAAAGCTTGATAATACAGCCAGGAAGAGGAAAGAGGGCAAATGTGAGGGCCTCTCACCAACTTCCCCCAAAATAAATACAACTAAAGGCTCAGACAACCTTTTTTAATCATTAAAATGTTGGGGAGGAAAGTCCAACCCTGCAGATTAGCTTTAGTGAGAAGATAGTTCTTTTGCTCCTAAGGGAAGATAAGCCTGGACCAAAAGCTGGGTCATTGAGATGGTTCAGAAGCTGCAGGAAGTATTTTACCAAGGATTGAAGGGTACCTTTCATGCACCTGGACACTGTGTGATGCAAAGGAACAAAACTGGTAAGGTCTCTGAACTTAGGACCTCACTGCACCAATAGGAGACATAAAGCAATAGCAGCTGTGTCAAGTCCTTCAGAAAAAGGAGCATCATGGGTCAGAGTGGTTATGTGAGGACCACTGACTTCTAATTTGTGGACTATATCAAGGCCATAAAACTGCCAAGATCCCTCACTATCTACTGATTGCCTGTGAGTTGCTCGGCAATGTACAGGCACTAATTTTTTCTTTACAACAACTCAGTGGAAGCAGGTGTTATTTTTCACATTTTACAGATGAGGGCATGAACTCAGAAAGGATGATTAAACATTACACATATTGTTGAAGGCAGAGCTGAGGATTAAAACTAGCTTTCTCAGTTCTCCTATAGCCCCTCCCATCACAGAACTGAAGGGAAAGGTCTTTCAACTTGGATTTTTGAATATTTTATAGATGTTATTCTAAGAAGAAAGGCAAAGAGTAACTTCACTTTATCTGCCTATTCTTTGAGCTCTCAACTTGAAAATCATCTTTTGCAGGATTCCTCTCTTGCCCCACAAAACTGGATTAGGCCTCCTTCCATAAAGCTCCCCAAATAAAGACCTAATCCTTCATATGCAAACTCAAAAGTCAATAAGCTCTGGAAATTCAGTATTTTCTTAACTTCGCAGTAAGTTCATTTAGCAGCGAGAGAGGACCTGAACTAATGTAAAATTCTTTTCAGTCTTTACCTATCCCGCTCAGTATGAATATTCATATTCTGTTGTGGAAATAATAATAGAATATGTGATTAAGGAGTGTTGCTCAGACTCCATTGCAGTTATTATAGAATATATAGGATATGCATATTACCTTTCTAAATCCAAATATTTCTCACTTGCAAATCACATCTAGCTTGAAGAGTTTCAAATAGGGGTTCTAGACCCCATGCAAAAATGTCACTGCTTCAAAACCATTTATTCTTTTTTGGAAGCCCAGCACTTTGTACAGTACCTTGCATATAATTAGTACACAATAAATATTTGCTGAATGAGGGACCAACGCTGAGAAATTAGCCTTAGAAAAAAGGTCAGTGGCTTGGGAGTAACCATAGCTCCCAACTTTCAGGCCTCACCCCTAACCACCAAATGCCACTTCCTTCTTTGACTCTGAAGGCCCTAAAAATAGTTGCTGTTGATTGAGGGAAAGCAATATAGCTTCTGTCTTCACTAGGAATAAAAATAGTTCAGTGGTCTTACATTAAAATGGACCCACACATAATTTTAGTCCAGTAATACAAAGCATAAAAGGTATTATTCATAATCAGACAATATGGGCAAGCTTCACAGGACCCCTTGAACTTGGGAAAAAAAGACCTGGCTTAGGGTTTGACACTCTACTGGACTGGACCTTTGGGGTCCAGTAGTTTTCTTATCTATAAAGTAGCAACCAGAACAGGACCTATGGCCCTCCCAAGTGGTCTCTTAACAAGGTCACTCTTGGGAGGGCCAGAGCTTCTTCACTCTTGTCTACAGTCCAGAGTTCACCGTCTTTTCAGTGTGATCTGTCCAACCTATACAAACAACCTCTCGTCTAAAAGAAATAGTAAATAAATAAATAAATAAATAAAGTGGCATTTTGTACCCAGGGCACCTAGGGGGCTCGTTCTGTCTTCGATCCTAAACAATGGTCAAAGAATTCTATAAAGAGTCGCCAAAGCAGCTATTCGGTAGATCCCCTGACTAATAAAGATATGGGGATGGTAACGGGGAGGAAATCACTGGCTAGCAAGGACTGGATTCAAATAGGAAACCTCTTAATTGCAAGCTCTCAGGTCACAGGAGTGGACAGAGGCCTGAGGAAGAGAATGAGTGACAACAGAGGGCAGTTCAGGGCGTTCTCTCCGGGTGATCTCTGCTTACCTGGTAACAGAGAATGGTTTGCTGCACCAGCCTTGCGTACCCGTCCAGGCGGACCCCGGAATTGCTTCTGCTCCTCATCCCCGCGACGCTCAAGAGCCTTGGCGCACGACTTGCCGCGCCGCCAGGGCTGCGGCCGACTAGCGGGCCTGGTCGCAGAACACAAAGCTTCAGTCAGTTCTCGGGACAGGGCTGGGAGGGAGAAGGTTGGGAGTTTTCAAAACGATACAACCAAAGTATGATTAAAAAACAAGCCAACCAGAGTTTCTGCCGGCTGGGCGGTGCGGGGGCGGAGACGGGGGCTGGCGCTATGGCGGCTCCGCCTTGACCGCGCTCCCGAAGGCCGCGTGTCACAGGCGGCCACGGAGGAGAAGCCGGGAACTGAGTACCAGGCCTGAGGAGAAGGCGCCCCTGACGAGCCTCTTTTGTCTATGGGCGGTCATGAGGAGGCCCCGGGGAGGGAGAAACTGGCCCGCCGGCCACGGTTGCCAGGGGCCCACCCGGGCCTGATTCAGCCCCGCCCCCTGCCCCGCCCCCGTCGCAGAGCGGAACCAACCAAGTCTCAGGCTGAGGGGAGGGAACAGGGGATGGCCCAAAGAAGAGAACCCGGCTCTTGGTTGGGGGACCAAGTTCCCTCGCTGAGCCCCTTCCTTTCCCAGCTGGCCGACAACCCCAACAGCGGCAGGAGAAACAGGCCCTACGGAACGGCCACTCGGGTCTCCCGGGCCCACCTCCCGGACCACCTCCCCCCCCCCCCCGCCCTCGGAGCCAGGCATGAGGGACACTGGTAAAGGGGCCGCAGCCTCCGCCCCTAGCCCCGCCTTCATCCCGCCTCCTCCGAGGAGTCTCAGCCCGAGGGGGATTGAAAAAGGGGCCGCCTGCAGTATCGGCATAGACCTGGCTTCATCTCCTGGCTGTGGTGTTTAGGGTCCCAAGGCGGTCGCCAAGACAACCCATGGCAGGAGAGAGACTGGACCACTGTGGCTGCCTGAGCGTTTCTCCGTAGGCGGAGATCATTCCGGGACGGAATCCAAGTAGTGGAACCCAGCCTAGAAGAGAAAGGGGGAGGCCGGAACCTATCCCCCAGCTACAACCCTGGAGCTCCTGCCCTAGCCACTTGGACTCAGTTCCCTGGGGTCGGGTCGCAGTTCATCTCTTCCAGCACTAATAACTTAAACTTGTCCTTGGTTAGTTTCTTGTGGCTGATAATTGCCTAAAGTACACAGTCTTCGGCCCAGTATTCATTATCCACCCAAATCTGGCCCACATATGAATTCCACTGGATAGCTAGACTAAAGTAATCATTGCTTCTGCAAACTCTTTTCTAGAGCATTTAGTGTATTGATCCATTCGGCCCTTCCTCTTCCTTCACCATCTGAAGCCTGTCTTTGCTTTAATGGCTAGCTCAGCTCCTTCTGCCCTCCCCATTCTCTTACTTCTTTTAGCGATTTCTGAAGAGCTGAGGACTTGGGAGTCACTTCGGATTCCAGCTGTTTTAGCTGTGTGACCCTCCAATGTTCTTATCTGTAAAATGGGGATATTGCCACTTACCTCACAGCGTGATTGAAAATCCAGAACATTTAGCACAAGCCTGGCTCAGAAAAGCCCATCATTAAAAAAAAAAAAAAAAATCATTTGGCAATAATGTATTGCCTTTGTATGTTTTCAAGTGTGGAAGAGGCATGCTTTCCTACTTGGGTTATAAAGTATTCATTAAAATAGTCTGATATCAAGCCTGATGTGGTGATGCAGGCCTGTTATCTTAGAGGCTCAAGAGGCTGAGGCAGGAGGATTGTGAGTAAACAGCCAGCCTCAACAACTTAGTGAAGCTCTAAGCAACTTAGCAAGACCCTGTCAAAAGAAAATAATAATAATAATAATAAAGGGCTTGGGGGTGTGGCTCAGTGGTAAAACACCCCTGGGTTCAATTCCGGGTACTAAAAAAAAAAAGAAAGAAAGAAAAGAAACAGTCTGATATCTCCTACCATGTCTGGTAAAGTGTTGGGCACGTGGTTGGAGCTCAATTAGTGTTGACAATGAATGATTGAAAATCAGTCCTACATCAGCAGAGACCCCTATGTTTAGTTATCCAAGTTCACATCAGATATTCCAGAACAAATCTGTAGCTTTACTCTGCCACTCAACTAAAGCACCCAAGGAGCCACTCATACTTTTTTAAAAATATCTGCTCTTAAGTTATGCAGCAATGTATGTAGATACACAGAATGCTATGGTCCAGAGAGTAATGCTAGACATTAAATTAAAATTAAATCTCTTTTGCAATCTTAATATGTACTCTTTTAATATTTTATTCGTTGTTGATGGACCTTTATTTATTTATATGTGGTGCTGAGAATCTAACCCAGTGCCTCACACATGCTAGGCAAACACTCTACCACTGAGCCACAACCTCAGCCCCTTAACATGTACTCTTACTAGATTTTCATGCATTCTTCTGTAACAAAAGCTGGGATCATTTCTTCTTTTTATTATGACTTTTGTTCACATTGGATGCTTCTTAGGAATCCATTTTACAGATCAGGGTCCAAGATAGAAACTAATGTTTCTCTTGGAGGGTTCAGGTCTTTAACTCTAAATAAAAGCACTCACTCCATCTTTGACCCAGAGAGGTTCAATTCTGAATCAATTTACTAAAAATAACTATTTTTTCAAATTTAGTTATTTCTACAACAATTTAGTTGACTGGGGATCATTTTATTTCTCATTACAGTAGTTTTTAAAAGAATGTTGAATTTTTCTGTACTACAACTTCCTGTAGCTAGTTTGAGACTAAGAGGCAAGGAGAGGAAGTCCCAGGGAGTATAAGATTTCTTCAAGTGAGGTATATATTTATTAAATATATTTAAAAGAATATATTCTGGGGCTAGGAATATAGCTCAGTAGTAGAGCACTTGCAAGGCTCTGGGTTTGATCCCCAGAATATATATGCTCGATATTCTAGAAGAATAAATATTCTGTTTTTATCTGCAAACTTTGAGGGGGGGTGGGGGGTGGTAAATAGGGATTGAATGCAAGTGCTTAATCACTGAGTTACATCCCAGCTCTTTCTTTTCTTATTTTCATTTTTTTTCAGTTGTTGATGGACCTTTGTTCTATTTATTTATTTATTTATATACAGTGCTGAGAATCGAACCCAGTGCCTCACACATGCTAGACAAGCACTATGCCACTGAGTTACAACTCCAGCCCCTTATTTTTCTATTTTGAGACAGTCTCACTAAGTTGCTTAGGGCGAAAGTGCTCTGACTTCTTGATGCTGTATCTCAAGAATGAGGTGAAAAATAATAACATGATAAGACTTCTTCACATTTAAGATTATGTTCTTATGTCCACTTAGTTTTTCCTTTTTCCTGTCTTTCCAACTCCAACTGCAGCAGCGAGATGAGACAGAAACAAATTAATTGCCCTTTAATACGGTTATGGAGACAAAAAGACCAAACAAGCCCACTTAGTGAATTGGTCATTCAGTAAATTAGATCTTCATTGACATCATCTTTAACAAACTGACGCCTCCTAGTTGACCTTGTTAGACGTAAGTGGAGCAGTTTTACCATTTGTGAGGAGAATAATCACAATGGTGCTCATTACAGTCAACAGAGTTCCTGTGTGGGATTAATGACTACAGTGTGTTTTGGGAAACAATTTCTCCAATGTTCTGAGGAAATACTTCTTCAAAGACTGGCAACTGCTCTGACACTCTCTGCCTCCTAATATGGGCAACACCTCTGTTTTCTTACAATAGATTGTGGGACCAATTTTAAACCCAAAACAGGACGCTGCTTGGGAACATTTTCTATCTTGCCCTGTTATCTCTCTGAATTAAGAGAGAGAGAGGGAGAGAGAGAGAAGAAAATTTGGCTTAAGAACCACAGCTAGATGTAAAACATAATACGAAAAATAAGGTGGGGGGGACTAAAGGACATGGACATTGCACCTCCTTTCTTTTGGGAGATTGATTAGTGAAGTCTCATCCTGCTCCTGATTAGTTTAGTGCTTGGCCTCTGTGGAGGCTGAGGATCTTGGAAGCAGATGAGGCCAGCTTCCCCGCTTTGTGGCTTCAGCATGCTAACTTACAACCCTTCCTGAAATCCTACTGTTTGATGCTGAGGAAATAGACACTTGGATGGGAATCTGAACTGGGTCTCATAAATTGCCTAGAGGTCAATGGCAACAAATATTAAAGAGAAACTCTTGTAGTAGTATGTTTTCTGTTTTGTGATGCTGGAGATTGGATCTATGGCCTCACACATGCTAGGCAAGTGCTCTCCCACTGAGCCACATCTCCAGCTCTGAAGAGAAACTCTTGAAAGAGTAACCGAAAAAGAGAAAAGAAGACTACAGAAACTAATCTCATGTGACAGGACAACCCTTGCTCTAATTTCTCATCCCCAGGGTGCTTGCTGTTTCCCCAAAGATATGACTATTGTGTTGGTCTTCATCAGGCATGTCTTACTACTCCCATGCCCTGTTGCCAGGGAAAGAAATTGCAAAAGGTTTTTCTTTGTAAAAGTCACCAAATTTAAAGGACTTAACTAAATTTATTTAGTTCATTTTAACATTGTTTGTTGATTTTAACACATAAATACAAGACAATTAAATAAATCAGAGAAGAAATACTGCAAAGACAAATCAGCACTCAGAAATGTCTTATTACCATGGTTAATCTGGGATACAACATTCACTTGAAATATATGCAAGGGAGCCTTAGTGAAAGATCTAACTAAAGGGTTTTGAAATGTTCCTAGTAAGGACATACTTGAGTTACTGCTCAAGCAGGTATAGGTGGAAAGTAGGAAAGACTATAGCAATCAGGGTTTGATACAAATAGAAACAACAGTATCACGGGATAGTTCACTGTTTTCAGTAGCCGCTCCCCCTTGTCACTATACACTCTTTAAGACTTGACACATTTTAAAAAATAATTAGAAATCTGGCTGGGCCAGAGTGTACCAGTGGTAACAATCAACAATGTACCATGCAGTTGCCTTTTAAAGAACAGCAATATGATTTGTTTTCCTTATATATCTCTCTTTTCAAAAGTAATCCTACTCTGTTCCCCTCTTCTGAAAGGCTCTGGGGACTTGAGATGTGGCAGTGTATGTATCTCCTCCACATTCACAATCTTCCCCATATATGGTCTAGATTAGAGTTTCTTCCCTTTCTGTGACCAAGGTATTAAGCTTAACATCTTGGTGCAGATTCCATAATCTGATAATGTGGCCTGGGGATGGGTACTGGCACTGGATGTCATGTATGGTTGTACAGGTCATACCTTGTATAAAGATGTCCCCAATAATATGACTAGGACTAAAACGTGACCCCACTCTGCTTGCCAAACCAGGCTGTATCTTCCCAGGGAGGTACCTTTTTCTAACTCACTCAAAGGCACTGTATGAGCTAATTGTGGAACTGTCTGATTAGAGTCTGGCTGCATCATTATTATTTCTTGATTTCAATGAAGTTTCTGTATTTCACATCCATATAATCTCCAAAAGGAGCTTTAGAATTCACTGAATCAGTAAGGATTTTCTGAGTTATCACATTAGACAAAACAATAAAACCATGATTCTACAAAAGAATAAATCTACATAGTAGAAAATAAATACAAAAAAAGGTAGAAGTAAGATTTCTGACACGTGGGTCCCTAGAATTTAGCTTATATACAACAAAGGCATGCACAACTAAACTCACCAAAAGTCTGAAGTCAACAGTTGCTTTCTAGGATGTTATCAAAGATAACTTAGCCTCTTTAAAATGTAGCTGGAAATTAACTACGTTTTTGTTTATACAAGTCTTATTCTCACTGTGTTGTTTAAAACCAACCTTCTTTTAAAATGAAGGTTCGGAAACCAAATTGCTAATGTCTAAAGGTCACAATAATGTCTTGGTTTCCCCTTCCAATAGTAACCATCGCCTTTCATTAGCTTATGTTCCTCCAGAGGTTGCTGAGTATAAAATAAGTTGATTTTCATACATCTCACATTGTGTAAAAGGTAAAATTGGACATTTCACACCATCAAGCATCATGCTTTGATTTTAGAAAAAAGGAATCACATTTGTTCAATAAAGTGTAAGCTTCCCCTCTTTGAAGTCCTTCTGAGAGCCATACGGCTTTTACCATTGCAGGAATCGTCTTTGTCATTAAACATGTGCTGTTTTCCAGTAAGATCATGAAGGCACACATCTCCATTCTGAACACTGAAAGAAACCCCATTCCTCTCTGTAGAAGCATTACCTGTATAAAGAAAAACAAAGTGGGTATGATGAAGTACCCACAGAAAGCATTTAAAAACAAATGTAAACACTTTAAATATGCACACATGAAACAGCTTTTAAAAATATTTGATATATATTTATTTTATTTTTCATTCTATCCCTTTCCTAAGGGCAAAGTAAGCACAACAAATTGGAGATTGATTCAGAAATGAGTTTCCTATGACAGCTTTCTTTTTAATGAAATGGCCAAAATATGAAGCAAAGCAAGGTATTTATTTATTTGTTTATTTATTTATTTTGGTACTGGGGATTGAACCCAGGGGTGCTTTATCACTGAGCTACATCTCCAGCCCTTTTTAAAATTTTGAGATAGGGCCTTGCTAAGTTGCTGAAGCTGGCCTTGAACTTGCAATTCTCCTGCCTTAGCCTCCAAAGTCTCTGGGATCACAGGTGTGTGCCACAGCACCCAGCCAATATATTTTATTTTAGGCCCCTTTTCTAACTCTGATCAAAAACATACTGACTTCAAGAACATATAAGATAGCCTAAGGCAATATTTTGATCTCCCCCAAAAGTTAAGACTAACAGAGATCCCCATATATACCCTTAAAGGTTCCTGCTTCTCTAAGATTCCTATAAAATGAAACTTTGTACTAGCAGAGAAAGTTAGAGCAACCAACCATAACAGTCATGGCAAGAAGAAATCTCTGACCATCTTCTAAGCCAGCCTCTCTGTCTAAATTGAGATAGAACTCATTCCCAATAGAAAACCATAGATTCCAATCTAAGATGCCAGGCAGGGAGCAGCTGAGCATTCAGTGACACCTATACATTGGACCCAGGTCTCTGGGACCCCAAGTAGGCCCCAGATTGTAGGGCTACATAGCTTCCAAGAACTTATAGCTACTTGGCACCATCCTTCTGAATGCTATACCATTGGGAGACTGTGTAGGAAGTGGAATAAAAAGCCCATTTGTTAGTTGGTGATGTAATCATAACAACAGTAATTATATCAGCACTGAGCACTTGATAAATATTATCTCATAACTCTATGGGATAGATACTCTATGGGATATTATTATGCTCATTTCAAAGATGATGGAATTAGGTTTGTGGAAATTAAGTGCTCTGCCCAAAGTTCCATGGCTCAGAAGGGATGAAATCAACATGCCAGGATGTTGCTTCCACACTGTGAGCTTGTGACTCTGTGATATGATTTATCTAAGGCAGCTTAGAACTGAAATATGTCACATTCATGCAGACAAGGTGGTGGATCTGGTTAATGCAGCCCCATCTGTGCCACAGCTCAAACAGGGCATGTGACTGTCTGAGGCAGCTGTTCTGACTTAGGCATTTTGGTCTGAGGACATTTTGGTGCAGGAACAATTTGTCCCAGTATAATAAACAAACGATTCAGCTGCTAGTGTCTCTTTTAAAATTGCCAATTCCATTCCTCATCCATTCCTGAACCTAATGTGAGGACTGACAAATCAGGGATATTCATCTGGCAGACTTATTAGGTAGTCTGAAACAGCCATTCTGGTGGCCTTAAAATGTACCCCTTCCTCACTGTCAGGCATCAAAAATAGCTGTGTCAAGCAGCTGTGTCAAATGTGCTACTTCTGTCAAATTTGATTCCCCAAAGAATGACAATACATTGATAGGGCTAGGCAGGTGAAGCTTCATCTCTGAGCTCTCTGTAGAATATGGAAAACTCTGGTTATGGATGAAGAATGCCAAACACAGGCAATTTTAAGACTTCTGGATGACCCAGCCCATTTTTCGATTTCTCGCTTTTCAACTTGCTCTCTCACAATAAGTTATTAACCAACCTTGATTCCCACTGCCTCTACTCCGTTTGCCTACATTGAATCATTCCTGATATAGCTATTTGGCATAGAGCCCAGACCTTTTCTTCTGGTATTGACAGAAGATCCAAGGCCACATGGCAGCAGTTTCTCGTCTTTTATATAAGGAGTTCTTAACCAAGGGCAAGTTTATCCCCCAGGGGATATTTGGCAGTGTCTGGGGATGTTTTTGGTTGCCACAAATGAGGGTACGGCACTACTGGCTCCACTAGGTAGAGGCCAGGGATGCTGCTTTCAATATCCTGCAATTCCACAAAACAGAATTACCCAGCCCCAAATATCTCCTGTACCTGAGGTTGAGAAACTGATTTCAAGGCATCCTATTGTATTTTTAAAGTCTGAACAAACCACCAGGGCTCCCCAACCCTCAGGAGACTGGAAAACCATTTGGTAAATGTATGAACTTTCTCACAAATTTATTTGAATTAGTCATGAAAAGAACTAACACCCTTAAACAGTGAATAAAGATAAATTCTCCATGGAAGGAGAAAGTATATTGGCAGAACTTAGGTTTTTATAAAATGCAAAAGATAATATTAAGAAGCAGAAGAAGGCAAGCTTTTATGAGTAATGAACAGCCCAGTCTCATGAAAGAAAGAAAGTGTAATGAAGTTTTAGCTAGAAATGTCAGACTTAATGAGTGCAGGAGGCACAGTAGCAATAATCTGTTCATATACTGATGACATATATGGTCACCAATACTGGTCACAATTCATCTTTTAGTATCTGATATATTTGTGGGGATTTGGGTGCTGTCACAAGGCAGTCACACTGTGGGAAAGAATTAACAAACATGAAAAGTGAAAAACAGGAAGGTTTAAAAGTGTTGAAGATGTGTACGATTATAGATGTAATAAAAATTAATATAGTCTCAAGGACTATTTTAGGTACTGCTCTCATAGAGCACAGTACTGAAGTCTTTGGGCGATATTTGGATAAATAAACTTCTCTTTTATGTAAGGGAACCCCATTTTGATCCACTAGTCATATATGTAATTATTCAGTTTGCTTTGCAAAAATACCACTAAAGGATAAAACTACTTAAAAAAATAAATACTAGCTTGAGAAATACTATATTGAGACATACATACCATTCCCGCTTGCGTGTACTGAGCAATCGTTATTCACTAGCAGTGTGGTGGAGTTAGTGGAGTTACTGCTTGACTGTAAGGAATTTGAAGAGCTGGATACTCCTTGGTTTACAGTCTGCTTCTTTAAACCATTAGTAGCAGTTTTACTCCAGTCTACAGCAGAATAAGCATTACAGAAAAACAGGGCCTATGTTGAAGCTCAAATGCAAGAGACAGATCACAGTGTAACAAGTTCTAGCAACAGATTTCTCACTTTGAGATCTTATAGAGAAGTCACACATTTCACAAGCTGGTGTGATAAAAGATTTTTTTTCATTTAGACTATTTACATTTGTCCTTTAAATGACTGTCTGGTTAAAAGTAAACTATATTCTCCTGGAACTAAAAGCCAAGCTCATTTGATTGTGTCTATAAATAACTACTGAATTAGGTACTAATTCAAAGCCTCACACTGTCTTCACAAGAACAGGAATCAACTGTGTTGTGATGTCTAATTCTTCTTGAATCCATAGAAATGACTGGCCTATGTGTATTGCCATTTCCTGAGAACAGACTCTAGTGCTCCTCACCCCCAACCCAGGTACGGAAAGGATGATATTCACACAAAAGGAATCTTGCTTTTTAAAACAGTACTTAATTTTTCTCATTTTTAAGAAAATCTACCACCCAACAGAGCATATGCAAAAATAACTTCTAAATAACCAAATGTGTGACAAAGCTTATATACAAAGTTTGGCCTGCTAACAAATAAAGTGACTGACAACTAGGACCTGTGGAGAAAGAGTTGAGTCAACCCTTAAAAAGTTATGAAGGAAAATATTAAAAATTACTTTGGGAAATGAAAAACATGAACTCAACAGGAAATAAATTCTAAAAATGTCACTGTTGCTTCCTTCATTCAAGAAGCAGCCAGTCCACTAATTCTATTGCTTGTAAAATTCCCAAACACCACTATTCACTAGGTTTTCCCCCTAATGTTCACAATCCATAGGCTTCTGTTGCACAGGTTCTGTTTTTTGATTTTCAGATCCAAGGGCCCCTTAGCAATGATTGCTTTGGAGTTTAATTTATACATCCTTTCCTTGAGATTTAAGAGGAAGAGAAAAAGTAAGGTTAATTTTTACCAGAATTTTCAGCCAGCCGGAACTTTCCACAACAAAGATAGCGCCTCCATTGCTTCCTGACATTCTCTTTTGCTACACAGTAAAAGATGAATATGAAAAATCCTAAAGGGGGAAAACAGAAAAACAAACCATAACATAATAAATTTCAAATAAGACCTGAATATCATGAGCTTACTTTGCAAAAAAATAAAATCTTTGGCAGCTATAGGCAAAGTGAAATTTTACACATTTACTAAAAAAGTCCTAAGTTCAAGGCTTGCTATGGAAAGGCACCCAGAGAATGCCCCTCATTTTAAAAAATTTTTGTAAGATAAAAAATACTTATTGGCTGGGCCTGGTGGTGCAAGCTTGTAATCTCAGCGATTGGGAGACTAAGGCAGGAGGATCGCAAGTTCAAAACCAGCCTCAGCAACTTAGCAAGGCCCTAAGCAATTTATCAAGACTGTGTCTCAAGCATAAAAAAATAAAAATAAAAAGGCTGGGGATGTAGCTCAGTGGTTGAGCTCCCCTGGGTTAAATCCCCAGTAACAACAACAACAACAACAAAACCCAAAAATATATAAAAACAATGATAACTTCACATTTCCAAAATTAAGTTCACTGTCTCTCCTCTCACATTCTGTCATTGGCCTTCCCTGACTTGGTAGTATAAGCCATCCACCTTGGTGGGTCCTTGGCTCCTACCTCTCCCTCCCTCTGGATTCATAATCCATCTCCAAGTTTTTTCAAATGTCATCTCCTTCACAGTCTCACATTCTTCTCTCAGGCCCACTGTCAGGTCTTTGCTTGGCCTTTTCCCAATGTGCCTGCCTGGGTGGTACACCCAGTGCACTCATTAACTATCTTCCTGCTGCCCACCAACCTGCTTAAGGACATTCTCCAGGGATGTCTCAGCAAGAAGAGCAAACTGAAGATTTGAAGGGGCCCTCAGACTCCACCTCCATCCCCAGTTATGCAGGCCAAGGCTCCTCACACCTCTCTCTCTGCCACACCCCAAGGCTCTGGCCAATAATATTTGCTGAATGTTTGGATGAATTATGAGGTGCTCTCTCTCTCCACAACCCTTTTGAAATACACAATCTTTTTGAAATACACAATCTTTTGAAATACCAGATTTTCTTCTAATAGGGTACACATGCCCACCCTCAAGACTGCTGTCTGAATATTGTATCCTTTCCTCAAAGTGTCACCCTGGGAGGCCACCCTTGGTTGCATTAGGGGGAAAACAACATGTGTCAGAGAGGTCAAAATGGAGATGCACACAGCCCAAATCAGAACCTATGCATAGCTCTCTTTAATCAACTCAAAAGCACTGTGAATTAGGCATTAGTTCTCTTTTATAGAAGAAGCAGAAAATGTTTTCTATTCATTCAAACTCAAATAAGAAGATTTTCTGGAGAAATACAGAAAAACAGGTAGGTTCATTTTCCACATTAAACGTGAGGGTGGATACCTAGTTTTTTGTGTTAATGATTAATGTGATTTGGGCATATAAACTGTTTGTCTTAAAGTATATACTATTTAAGTATGCCATTGTTAGCAAATAAAATTTTTCTCAAAACCCTTAGAAATAATTTGCTCTTCTCTACTGTTGTTTTTGTTTTGGTATTTAATACCATGTAATGTGATACCTGGATATACCAATTTGGAGACTGGTATATTACAGATAAAATTAACAACCATATGTAACCAATAAGCATATTTGGGGCTTCCTCCAAATAAAATAAGAACTAATGACCAAATCAGATATCTGAATTCATATCAGGGTGGGATTTCTTTTTTCGGATTCTTTTTTCAGTCCTAGGGGTTGAACTCAGGGCCTTGAGAAATGCTAGCCAAGCATTCTACCACTGAGCTACATCCCCAACCTATTTTATTTTATTTTTTAAAATTTTGAGACAGGGTCTCACTAAATTGCCATGTTAGCCTTGAAATTGTGATTCTCCTGCTTCAGCCTCCCCAGTTGGGATTACAGGTGTGTACCACCACTCTGGTTCTGGGTGGGATTTCTTTGAAAACCAGCAAAATGATCTATTGCCTGATGGAACTACGTGAGGGTGCTAGGGGAGCTAAAAGCAACAGGAAAACAAGCAGATGAGAGACTGCAATGAGAATCTCAAGCAAGGATTTGGAATAAAAGGAAGCCAAGGGACAGTGAATTATTGTTATTGTATGTAAACCTATTAGCCTGCTGGGCTTTTAATGCCAAAGCACTTCCATTAAAAATTAACAGCTGACAAGTGTTTTATAACAGTACTCTAAAAAAATTAGTCATTTGCTTTCATAAAGAATACAACTATGGGGGTGGGATTGTGGCTCAGCTGTAGAGCAGTTGCCTAGCACATGTGAGGCACTGGTTTCAATCCCCAGCACCACATAAAAATAAATAAAAGGAAATGTGTCCATCTACAACTAAAAAAAAAAATTAAAAAAAAAAAGTATACAACTATGGGGCTGAAGCTGGAGCCCAATGGCAGAGTGCTTCCTAGCATGTGCAAGGCACTGGGTTCAAAGCTGTTGTTAAATATGATTAGCACCATATTTAACAACAGCCAAACAAACAAACAAAATAAAGACAATCTAAAAATACAAAAACTTAAAAAAAATACAACTATGAGGGTTCCAAAAGGAACATTTGTTGAGTTTCATTAACAAATGGAAAGCTCAGAAGGGAAAGGCAACATGCAGAGCCTGCCCCTTTCGTGCTGCAGAGTCAGCTCAGTAACTTCTAAGGATTAGCCTCTGGGAAGACTGTTGCCACTTGGGTCTGTTTATTCCCTTTCCATTTATCATCTGATGTCTCCAAATCAAATGCTGGCCTAGGTTGAAGTGGCCAGCCTTCCTATGGACATGTATAGTATGTGTGCTTTTATGGTTCTACTTCAATAAATTAGTTTAAAAGGGAAAAAAATAAAAAAGGAAACAAGAAAGTGAAGGAAGAGTAATTGGCTCTCTCAGAAGAGTTCCTGGCAGGTTTCTCTCTCCAAGGAGATAACAATGGATAAAGAGGAAAAAAGCACAATTTCTTGAATTTAGTGAACACTTTTCTTCCAAGAATCTCAAAGCTCTTCTTCTCAGCAATAAATCTTAACAATGAATGTATTTTAAACCACTAAGCTACTTTGCATATACTCTTTTAGTAGTGATATTTTATTATACAACTGGGATCATTCAGCTCGTATTTAATGGTGTAGAGCTTACCCTGTAAGGTGTTAAAGATGGCAAAGAGATACATGAAGGTGATGTTAACTGGTCCCCAGGCAAAGAAGGCAAAGCCCCAAGTAATTCCCAGTAAAAATGTGAGGCCAGCAATACTCCTGAGGTCTTGAATACTGGTTTTTCGCTGGGCTCCCAGTTGTTTCTTCTTTTTAATTCGACAGAGCTGAACCAGGACGACAATGAACATGCTGATGTTCAGCAAAAATATCACACAGAAATATCCCACAACTGTAATATAGAATACTGCATTGCTGTTGATCCAGCAACTGGAATTTGGGGGGGGGGGAGAAAAAGGGGAAATCACATTACTATGATGAAATAGTGTTCTACATGATACACTGAGTCTATAATGTATCACTAAAACATTTTCTACAGGAGGAAAAAAATGATAAAGCCGCTGTTGTCCACAACCATTTATGGCTCTTAAGGACAAGAATCTATCTTAGGACACTTGGTGATTAAAAATATTTTCAAAAAATATTTTTAGACATTCAGGATTTCACCCTTGCAAACTCTAGCAATTCTATTTCATGAGCTTTATTAATATAATGTGTTTCATTTTTATGAGAGGCTAATAAAATATTTCCAATATAGTTTTTCCTAATTCATTAGTTAAATAATTGCATCTCCAACTACCTTATCTCATTACATATGACAGTGAAGGCTGTTGTTAAATATGATTAGATTTTATTATGATGACAGCTGGAGTTGATATGCTGATTAGATCCTCCATTTTCTTGGAGAATTTTATTTTCTAGTTTACTTAACAATACCTCAGGGAATTTTGTACTCACAAGTCATCTGGTGAGCCATTAGGGAATTTTCCATAGGATCCAAGCCCGTAATTATGTGGGGATATAATCAGGACAATAGCTACAACCACAGCTGGTACCCCTGGAAGATGGGAAACATTGGTCACACATACTTTTAACAACCAAAGGTGGTGAGAAAAAAAGACTAAAGATCATTCCATTTACTTCTTGTGGCATGGTAGAGACTGGTTATTCACCAAATGAGTTTCTTTTTCTCTTTGACACATGGATAGACCCTCTCAGCCTCCCTGGCAGCCAGGTGTGCATGGCCATGATAGGGAACGGACAGATGGAAGTGGTAGGAACATGAGGTTAGGGGATTAGTTCTATAAATGGGGCCCACTGTGCTGATCCCACACACTTTTACTTTTAAAAAGCTATTTACTTGTAGCCCTGTCTGGCTTAAGCTGACAAGATATGTTACATTCCTTAGCAAACTACCTGTTATCTGCAGGAGAAATTCAGGCCCTGAAATGCTGATAAGAAGAACACAAGTTTGGGGGACTTTTGTGACCTTTACACAGATCAGATCCCAGAACTCAGGGAGATAAGGATAATTCCCCCAACCATAAAATCTGTAAGAATAGGTTCCAGTTAGAACTGGTCAGCAGAGGCCAAAGTGATCTAAAGTTGCCTTGGCAGTAAGGACTTGAAGGTCTGATGTCATCTGCTGTCAGTCAAAAGTCAAAAGGTGAATCTGGGCGGGACTCTCTGGAAACTTCCCTGGGATCTCCAATAAATCTGGAGAGCTGGAGAGTCATGCTGTTCCTCTCCTCTCTGAGACTACCCACTCTCTCCCTTGAGAGTGTTCCCTTTCTCCTTTCCTATCCCTTCTAATAAACCTATAACTGTAGTGACTTGTCTTAAATCTTTCTGACTTGATCCCTAGAATTGGAGTTTAAAAGGGGGGGGTGCTTTCTGCTGCCTCAGTTTCCTGTAAGTCCCCAATCCTGTAACACCACATGACTAAGTTTTGGTCAGTGGGATTTGGTCAGAAGTGATAAATTCCACTCCAGGTCTGCCCTTGTGAGATCTTTTACTCTCTTTTCCCCAAAACTCAGAGTAACCTTGGAAGCACCATTTCCAGGAAGTCTTCATCATCTTGGATCCCTGAAAAACTGCAAGACCAGAAACTCTTCTACTCCTTGTAACTGGACCATGTATAAGCAGGAGATAATCATCTGAGATTTCAAGGCTTATCTGTTATAGCAATGAGTGTTACCCTTAACTTACACATGACTGGAATGTAAATTTAAGAGTAAGCAATTCCTGGTGAATCATTCATAATGAAACCAAAATCCTGATTCTTTTTTTTTTTTTTTTTTTGTGGTGCATGGAGATTGAACCCAGGGCCTTGTACATGTGAGGCAAGTACTCTACCAAAATCCCTATCCCCCCAAATCCTGATTATTTAGAACCCAGCGTATCCTAGCTGATATGGGAGAGGTGGCTGCCACTATTATTGGCTCTCTCAAGGGCTTATGAGTTTAAGAAGAGGAAAATGAGAAGTTCCTATAAGTTTAAAATGGTTTCTGGCTGGGAAAGAGGGCTTCTCATCCCTCTAGATCATTACCCACCTGCTCTATGCCACCACCTCACCTATATATATAGACCAACCAGCCATCTAACTCAAGGCTCAGAGAAATAAAAAAACAATTGCTTTCACAGACTGGCTGGAATGCCTGGTACAATGTAATATTTCATTTAAATCCTTCGTATTTGAACCTTCTAATGATATTGACATATGATAATTTCCTAAGAAAGATGTTTTCCTAAAAATACAATAATGGAAGGTTGGGGATATAACTCAGTGGCAAAGCATTTGTCTAGCATGCACAAGGCCCTAGGTTTATCCCCAACACCACAAAATAAATTAAATAAAATAAATTAAAATCAAATCGTGATAGTAGGGCAGCTTGTTCTTCACAAGGGCGTCTGACCTTTAAGCTTTCTCTAAAGAAGACAGAATCTGTGCCCAATATCCAGAACAGGGACTTATCTTTCTGGGGCAAGTTAGGGGAAAAGGTTGTTTTATTTTTCTTCACAAAGAATGACAGGCAGGGTGATAAGGATGATGAAAGGTTTGCACTCCTGGCGTGTAGGGACTGTTGAGCCTGAAGAAGAGGGAGTCTGCAGGGCGGTGGCAGCTGTAATATAGTAGAAGGGGCCTGCACAAGGAATCAGAAAGGCAGGCTTGGCTGACTTCTAGCCTTCTGAATTGGGGATAAATCACACTGGCATTTTGAGCCAGTTTCTTCACCTGGAGTTGACAAAAACTGCCTTAAGTACCCCACAGGCTTGATTTTAATAAGGTGACTTATGTGAAAATGCCTTGAAAAATTGGGCATTATACTACTTGTGAATAATCCAAAGGATTCCTGGGCAGAAGAGGTATCAGATGATGATGATGATGATGATTATGATGATGATGATGATGATTTTGTCTTGACAGCAAAACCATTGGTAAATGTCTCCAGGGAGCCAAGTGAACTTAATGGGAAAACGGAACTGAAGAGCTTTGGAAAGTGATCATTGGCTGCTTTGTAAGATAATGAGCTCCCCAATAATGGAAGTGTTCAAGCAGCAGTTGGATTATCTTTAGTCAAGGAAAATCAGGTGGATTTGAGGAGGCATCTGCATTGGGTTAGGATTTGAAGAAGCCCTACAAGATCTTGGGGAAGTCTAAGGCTTTGTGACCCACCACCAATAGGTAACATGATCTCAAATATTGTGCCAGTATGGCAATGAAGTTACATTGGTTTACGTGTACATCCTTTTACTCTGCCCTTTGGAGTACATCATTCTCATACATGTGTCTGGTATGTGGGAGGTATAAATCAGAACAAGACTAGCCAAGAGCTCAGGGATGGAGAATTTGGCCTCATTACCACAAACATTTTTAATTTATTGAGCACATTCTGGTACCTTCTAGCACTTTCTGTGTTAGCTCAAATTCAGTTGCTGGAGGTACAACAAGGATTCATGGTCCAACCTCAAAGAGTTCTACATTCATAATAAATCTAGAGGAAATACCATGTCCTAGAAAAATATTACACAAGGTAGCTCTGCGGACAGTGCAGCCTGTAGGAATAGAAAGCTGTTTTAGAAACTTGCCAAATGTGATCTGCTTCATCATGTTTCTACCTTAATAAAAATCAAAACACTAGAGAAAATGTACAGGGCATATGAAAGCAAATTTATACGTACCCCAGCCAACAATGCAGAATTTAAGGATGTATTTTCGGATATAAGTATTGAACACTTTGACAAGAGCCAGGTACATATGGAATGCTTCTAGGCCCATCCATGTGAATGAGACCAAGAGAAAATAATGAAGGAATACAGCTACTGAGATGCAGAGGCCTTTTGTGTTATAAAGAGCAATCCATGAGTCCAAGAGAAATATTAGGTTCAGCAGGAGCAGAGCAGTACATAGCTGGATGAGGATTTTGGAAGGGTAATCCCTCCGGATCTTTCTAAAAGGAAAGGGCAAGAAAAGGTTAACATTACATTTTGCCAACCCTTGCATAAGCATATTTGACAGGCTATCTATGAGTTCTAGGCAGTTTATTTTTATTCTTTGGTAAATGTCTAAGATATGTATAAATTTTCTCTGTCTCTGAGTGGGTGTATGTATGGGGGACTTTAAAATCAGCAACAAAGGAAAAATCTTAACCAAATCATCTATGGTAACCATATGGAAAATTTGTGTATGGATTTCTGTGGGACTTTTTACATGCTGACTGTTGACCCATACTTTTAAATAGTTTGTAGTAGATTCTACTGACTACCCACCCCATATTTCCCAAACTACTTCTAGAAGCATTGCTGCTCCTTCTCATGTAATAGACTACTAAATTCAGATCTTCAAAATGTAGCCAGATTCCCATATTATCCTAGGTTATTAATTAAAATGAGGTCATGGAAAGAGTTTAAACTATAGCTAAATGTAATGGCATAGGAAAATACAGCTAATTGATGACATGTACATGTTTATATGTGCAAAATTAGAACTGGTGAAATCATTCTGAGTAATGGCTGGCTTTATGGTAATTTAGTCTCACTAAGAATATTTCCAAAGGTCCACCAGAAGATCTGTAGTCACAGCTGGACCCTAAATTTGGCACTGAAAATAAATTTGTACATTTCCTGATCAGTGTCCAAAATCTAAATCCCAGAATCTACATATTGTTTCAATTAGCTAATATAACAAGAATGCCTAGTTCTTTATTTTTCAATAGAATTTGTTAGAATTTTCCCCAAAAAGTGACTAGAGGAACCTTTCTGGTGAGCCAAGAGAAGCCATTTTTTGGAATGTCATTCCTGTTTTGACTTACAAAGCCACACCCACCAAGTATCTATTTTTTTTTTCCAGTGAGGTTTTTTACACCCTTTTTCATTATCTCTAAACCAGTTAATATATTTAATCTTTTATGCTTGTTCAGTATAATTTAGAAGCTTAATTTACTCATAGTTATTCTGTTTCATGTGTTGCTGTAGCCTATTTCAGACTATAAGGTCTTGGATTTCAGGGTGTGTCCCCATCTTTCATTTCACACTAAATGTCGACTAGGTACCAGGCATCACTCTGGGGTACAGAGACAATTATGCTGCAATCCTTGCCTTTACTGAACTTGAAGACTTGTGGGAGGAAGCAAGCAGAGAAGCCAGGGCAGGGCAGGTTGAGGAAAGTGCTTAATTAATACATTTTGGTGATGGAGGCGAGCATCAAGTCCTACAATCCAAATTTCCAGTTAAGGATACTCACTCAAAGGCTACGTAGGTTACAAGAGTAATTGACAGAAAAATTGATGAAAGCCCACAACCAATATATGTTATAAATGTCAGAGCCATCATTTGACCAGGCGGTAAGGATGTCCGAGATAGGTCCTGGAGAAGAAAACAATGCTTTCAATGATCAAATATTTTTATATAAACAAATGAATCATAATTTACATTTTTTGAGTGTGCTAGGTATCCATCTGTAGTCCATTGAACCAACCTATGTGGTAGGCACAATTATTATAATCAGGTAAAGACAAGGAAACTGTCATCCAGAGAGGTTAAGCAACTTGCCCAAGGTCACATAGCTAGGAAGTGGAGGAGTCACATTCAAATTCAGGTGAGCCTGACTTTAAATCCCATGTACTTGGTCACTGCATTACAATGCATGGGCAAAGCACTGGACTGGGATTCTAAAGACTGGCATTTGGCTCTTGGCTCTTACATTTCTTAATTCTATGGTTAGGGAAATGCCATGAGCTTTGATTATAATTTCAATAAAACAACAACAGTGCCCCATGCTACCTATCTTTTAGGACTGTGAAAGAGATTAAAGATTGTTTATGTCAAAATGTTTTTCAGATTTTTAAAATGCACCAGGCATAGTGCCACACACCTGTAATCCCAGCATCTTGGGAGGCTGAGGCAGGAGGATCACAAATTCAAAGCCAGCCTCAGCAATTTAGCAAGGCCCTAAGCAACTCAGCGAGACCCTCTCTAAATAAAATATAAAATAGGGCTGGGGATGTGGCTCAGTGTTTGAGTGCCCCTGAGTTCACTACCTGGTACCCCCTTCAAAAAAAATTTTTTTTAAATGCTTTGCAAACTAAACAATTTTTATTGTCCATTGTAATCTAAATTCCTTGTCTGAGTCATTTAAAGGAGAAATTTTAAATGTAAAAGTAGAGTGTGAGCCTGGCAATAGAATGTTATCCCAGAGACTCGAGAAGCTTAGGCAGGACAATTGCAATTTGGAGGCCAGCCTAGGCAACTTGGAGAGACCCTGTCTCAAAATAAAATTTAAAAAGGGCTGGGGATGTAGCTCAGGGGTAGAGCACTTGCCTATTGTATGATGTGTGAGGTCCTGGGTTCAATCCCCAGTAATGGGGAAAAAAAAGAATGTGAAAAAACGTTTGTATTCATACTCAGATATTTTCCTTTAGATGCATTTGCTTATTAGAAAAGTAATCTCATTGGTGTATAACTTTGCCATATACCATGCTATCTGCTTATCTGTTCAAGTCATACTTTAGATTAGATATCCAGATATGTTGCCCAGCTTCCCCTCAGTCCCAGAATACAAGGCCACTGAGCATGGTCATGTTACCAACAGGACCCCAAAGCTGGTAAGGTGGCTACAGGTACAGATGGTTTCATTCAGCTTCCTTTCTTTGACGGAGCAGCCATCGGATGACCAGCCTCCTCTGCCACCTGTTGGCATCAGAAAGAATATCTGTCCTATCAGCAAGGCCACAGCATCCATGACTCCCCACCTTCTCCAATCACCCACTCAGGATCTTGACAAGGTTTTGACTAGAACCTACCATTTCTGCCCAAGTCCCAAAATACACATTTCACTGTTAAGTCATCCTGCAGTAGAAAGATAAATCATAATTAATTAATTTTCTGAACTGAAAAGCAATTGGGAAAAAAATTATGGTATTTTTTATTACAGAATCTCATGCTTGATTTTGAGAGTTATTGTTTTATGTGGTCCCCACAAGAGGGAGCCCCATATAGGTCATGAATCCTCAAGCATATCAGTCATGCATAGGGATGGCCCTGGGACCTTGATAAAGCACAGTCAGACTGAGTAGACCTGGGGTGGGTCCTGAGAGCTTACATTCTAGCGAACTCCCAGGTGATGCTGATGCTTCCAGTATGCAAACCACACTGTGAATAGAGAGGTCACAGCTGAAGTTCAAAGTGAACTGAGCTGAAAGGCTATCTCATGGAGGTGAAAATCAGACCTACATGCACTGAAATTCAGCAATTGACAAGAGCTTGCATTTGCATCCATCCTTCTTGGATACTAGGTGGTCATTTACTAGGTGTGTTAAGATCCTACAGAGTAACTATGCAATTCTAGTCTCACACATGAGTCTAATGAGTTCAAGATCCTTTTTGCTGTCTTTCTCAAGTCATGTCTTATGGACATAGTTTGCATAAGGTGTTCCTAGTCAATGAGCAGCTCAGACTGGCCTCTCCTCACCTGGCTTGGATCTGTGTGCTTCAGTGTGACTGTCACATTTCTTGTCAAGTTCTTGACAGTCAGGTTTGCAACACTTGATGATATGACATAGCTGATCAGAGAAAGGTTCTCCAGAGAAGGGTCCTAGAACACCAAAGAATCAGCAAGATGACAAGGGAAAATAAAATTTGATCACAGTTTTAGAGCTAGAAGGGACACAAAAGACATTTAAACCACATTATTTTATAATAGTAGGTCAGAAATTGAGGGTCCAGGAATAAAGTGACTTTCCCAAGGGACCACAATTAGAAGCAGACCTTATTTCACTATAATGCCATAAATCCTGAGATAAATTGCATAGATTAACACAATAGGACCTCATGAATCTTCAAAGGAACATAATATTAGTCCATTTAAACTGAATGTCCCTGAGCAAGTTACTTAACCTCTCTGTGCCTCCATTGCGTAGTTTCCTCCCTCATAGCTTTGCTAGAAGGATGAGTCAACATTAGTAAATGCTTAGGGTAGTGCTTGGCAATTGGTAAATACTATGTAAGTGTCTGTTACAGTTAGTTATCATCACCAGCACCATTAGGCTATGAATAAATATAAACTGCAGAGTTGCAGCAATTCATTTGACTTGTAGCAGGTGTAGAAATATACGAGGGTTAAAAGGAATAAATCCCCCACCTCCAAATGAAATGCAAACCAAAAGCAGTGAGCAGCAACTTTACCTGAAACAGGGCAGGTGTTTCAAAAAAATTGAACTGAATCCTGGAAGCTAGCTCCACATCATTAGCTGGCAAATTACTCATCAACGATGAAGGCAGAGTAATAATGCCGATACTATTGTCAGGAGCTTGAGTTTCCAGAGAAACCTGAAAATCAAGTAAGAGATAATGAAAATGTCTGGAACTGGTATAACAAGGAGATGGAAAACATGACTAATTAAGATGGAGGGTCCTGTAAGGGCTTGATCTGTGGTACTTCTACATAAAATGGCTCCTGCTTCTCTCTTTGGTTGCTACTAAATGAAAAAGAGGATATGAAATAATGAGATGAGGACTCCAAGTGGGAAAGGAAACATGTTAAGGATACACAGAAATAGTCAAATACTTTTCCCATAAAAAATTAGATTGTACCTGCAGATTTGCAGGGTCTTGGGCCGCAAAGGTAGTTGTGTTGAAATTACTGGCATTTACTCTGATCACAGCCAGAGCCAAAGAAGGGGAGGTTAGACTTATGGTCTTGTTTGAAAAATTCAGCTGTAAGCCAATGTCATCTACAACTTTTAGCAACCTGTAAAGAGAGACGGCAGTTTAAATTTAGCACTCTCATTTTGTCTCCCCCATTCTAAGCAGAATGTAGAGAAGTCAAACGAACTTAGTCCTTGAGAGAAAAACAATTGGCTATAACTCATCATGTAAACAGCATCTTTACTATTAGAGGGTCCCCTCTTAGCACCTCTTTAGTTTGCTAAGCCATACCTTTGAGCCAGAGGGGCCAGCAAGGCGGGAGGAGAATGAAGGAGTTTGCTGACTTTGTTTATCATTTCGCCTGCAAGGTTAGGCTCCAAGCTGCCAAAGGACAGAGTCTTCTCCATCTGGGACACTTGGTTCTCAAGATCAGAAACACTGCTGGTGTTGAAAATTTCTGTATCAAAGAGGAAAATTGTTTTATGAACACATGATGGAAAGATCACTAATAAAGATAAACATAGATAAACATACAAAGACCCTGATCTGATCTGGTCAACCCGATCTTAGATAATTGCCCCAGAGAAAGAAAGCTTAGAAAAGCTTTCTTAAGAAAGCTTAGTCATGAGCCAGGCATGATTACAGCACACACCTGTAATCCCAGTAGTATATATCCATACAGTGGAATATTACTCAGTGATAAAAAGGAAATAATGACAATGCAGTCTACAACATGGGTAGATCACCAGTTTTCCAACACATTATGCTAAGTGAAAGAAGCCAAGCTCAAAAGGCCACATACTATGTGATTCTTGTCATATGACATTCTAGAAAAGTCAAAACTATAGAGAAATAGAACAGATTAGTGGTGGAGGGGCTGGGGGTAAGTGTTGGCTTCAAAGAGACCCAAGGGGACTTTAGGGGTGGTAGAAAAGTTATATATCATTTTTTTTTGAGGGGGTGGAGTACCAAGGATTGAAGTCAGGGGCACTCAACCACTGAGCCACATCTCCAGCCCTATTTTTTATTTTATTTTGAGATAGGGTCTCACTGAGTTGCTTAGTGCCTCGCTTTTGCTGAGGCTGGCTTTGAACTTGCAATCCTCCTGCTTCAACCTTCAGAGCCACTGGGATTACAGGCATGAGCCACCATATCCGGCTAAGTTATATATTTTGATTGTGATATTGGTTACATGACTATGGGTACTTATCCAACTGCACAGAACAATAAAAATTTCACTTAGCTGGGTGTGGTGGTGCACACCTATAATCCCAGCAACTTGGGAGGCTAAGATAGGAAGATGGCAAGTTTAAGACCAGCCTCAGCAATTTAGTGAGACCCAAAGCAACTTAGTGAAACCTTATCTTGAAATTTAAAAAAGGGTGGGGGGAGGGGCTGGTAACTCTGTTCAATTGTCCCTGGGTTCAATCCTCAGTACCAAAGAAAGAAAAAAATTCATTTATCCACAGAATTGGATAAATTTTACTGTACGTAAATTATATACTTCAATAAACCTAACTCAAAAATATAAAAGCGTATCAGAGTATTTAGTGTATATCACACCACTGCAAATCTACTTGCATTTAATTTATATCATGTACACAGGATTTTATGTGGGTCACTAGAAGCCCTTTTGTGAAAAAATTAAGAAATCAACAGCTAGACTCTCAGGAAGCCTAATTTTTATAGTGTATCTAATTGAGAGCTGGACTCTCAGCTAAGCCTGATTTTTATAGTCTATTTAACTGAGAATATAAACCTATCTTTAACAGCAAAAAAGTCTCTTCATTTTGCCACCAACATTCTATTATTTTGCATATTCCCTTCTAATCTTTATCCCTGTGTATTCACACTATTATAAACATGGTGAGCAAAATATCTGTCACTGGGCCTTTTTAAATTCACATCCAGACTTGAAAAATGCCCCCAAGAGTTTTTATATAGCTGTTCTAATGACCTACATGGTTACATGATAGTCACTGGGTTGAGACGGCATATCCTGTGTAATCATTCCTCTCCCGTGGAATTAAGTTTTATCTACTTTTTGGCTACCAGGTAATACTCCAATATGCATCTTCTGCAGGTATCATTTCTGATGCCCCAGGAGTAGAAGCATAGGATGAGGAGGCTACTTTGATGGTTTTTGTGCAACCCCTTAGGTTGTTTCTAAGGATAGATGGGAATAGCTTTGGAAAGATGGATTTTGCAGGCCTAGACTAACAAACTTCAATTGAACTTTATTCTTTACCAGCCACTGAAACTTCCCTTGACTAGAGCCCTAATGATCCTATGATTTTGCCTAAAATGTTAATATTTATTTCCAAAATTATTTAAGAGAGGGTATTGCAAAGTGGAAGAATTAACAACTCATTTGGCAGGAGCTCCAAATTTCCTGGTGATGCTAGAGCCATGACAGAGGGGGTGGAAAACAACACCTGAGCTTCAATCTAATGTCACCCAAAATTTGGCTTTGCCTCCCAGGCTCCAAATTGTAGAGGAAGATCTGTTTCTTACACACTGACTTGAAACTCCAGAGTATCCAGAATTCTCTGCTTCTTTCCATCTTGCCTTTATCTCGGTAACACTAAGCCTACCTGGCACCTGGGAGCCCTTTGCAGTTTCCACAGTATTCTCATGCCTGCCATCATTTTTAACGCAGTGCAGTTACACAGAATAGGTAGAGCAGGAGTCAAACTGTTTGTCCCAGATCACCTTGTCTGTGAGGACCTAAGCCTAGATCTTCTAAATGTTTCTCCCTTTCCAAAAAAGAAAGGCTCCACATGGTCTTATCACACATCCTGATTTGCAAGCCGGCAGCTGCCGGTCAGGCCAAATCCTAACTACTACAGGAGCAGCTTGGTTTCTTATACTTACCTGTTTTGACAGGAGGTGTGCTGATGCTGATGTCATTTGAAGATGCAGATGGAGCAGGTGTGGTGGGAGAGGGAAGTGAGGACTTCACAGGTGGTGGGGTATGGGAAGGATTGGTTTGGGGCAGAGGGGAAGAGAGAGTTCCAGATTGGGTGGGCATATTGATGGCAGGGCTGGAAGCTATGGGAGCTGAAGGCTGGGGAAGAGAAAAATGATTCTTCTGTGTCAGAGAGGGAGTGTTCTGGGTCACAGGGGGATGATTAAGGGATTCAGCAAAAGAGAAGGCACTGGATATCTGGGAAAAGATGGTGGTCTGAGGAGCAACTGGGATGGGTTTGCTGGAAGAAGAAAATGGTGGGCCATGTGGATATTCAGCAAGACAGACAATGGGATCCTGCAAATCACTAAAAGAAAAAAATCAGAGATGCATGTGAGACACAAATGTGCTACAGAGGAGTGAATCTCCTTCCTCTGGCAGCCATCTGACACCACCAAATTGACATGGTTACATCAAAGATGTACCACTTCCAGTCTCTGCCATGTCACACCCTCTGTGCCCCTGCCACTGGCCCCTGACTGCTTCTACCACCTACTTCTAGGGGGAAGAATTTTTAACATTCTTTTAGACCCCCTAGTTCTGTTTCACCAATTTGAAGCTGCTCTGGGGCTCTTTGCCTTATCATTTATTACTCCACTGAGGGGATCCTATAGCATTCCCATGTATTACTAGGGAAGGGAGCTATTAAATGCCCTATGACCCAAGTGGTTTCCATATACTAGGAATCTGTATTAACCAACTTCATACTGCTATAGTCTGACATAGTGGTACTGGCACATGGTAAATGACCAAGAAAAGTTGGTTGAATGCAAAGATAAATCACACTGGAGCCAAAGGAATGGGGTCCCCGGCTTGTAAATCATCTGCCCTCGAAGCATGAGAACTATCCAATGAACTTTAAAAAACAAATCATCTCTATATATGTGTGTGTGTGTGTGTGTGTGTGTGTGTGTGTATATATATATATATATATATATATATATATATATATATATATATATATATATAGAGAGAGAGAGAGAGAGAGAGAGAAATAGGTAGATTGATTTGTCTGGCTTACTCCTTAGTGTCTGATGCAGTTGGTCTTGGGACGAGGTGTTGGGGTGTGGAGGTCCTAGGCACGTGTATTTTTTATACTCTCAGGTGATTTTCCTGAGTATCAAAGATTGAGAAGAACTCACCTACTATCAGCACATGATCTATTAGTCTATAGGGGGGAAAATTTGAGGGGACAACAAATGATCACCCAGGGATGTCTCTGATGGACCTAGTTTTGGAGGCTTAGAACACCAAGGAGAATGTGTCTTGGAGCTTCTCTTGAGTGAGAGGAGGGAGGACTATTAAGTGGAGGGGCATAAGCCCAGTCACAACCATAAAGAGAAGTGCCAGCTGACCTGCAGTCTCTGGCAGTGGGGCTGGGCATTTGTACCCATCTGAATATGCTTACTCATAGAGATATGGCCCTCATAGAGGGTTCTCACCTGACATTCAGAGCTTAATAAACTTTTACATATGTACAGACCTATATGATCTAGATCTAAACATACAGGTTTTCCAGAAAGCCACTTTAATATATCAGCACATTTTCAAAGTGTCCCAGGTGTTTCTAACATACCATCCATCTTAAGAACCAATACATTAGAAAGATCCTGGTGATCATTCTAGCCCAGTGGTTTTCAAATTTGGCTGCACATTAGAATCATCTCACTTCAGGGAGGGAGTGTAAAAACCCAGAAGTACAAACTATACTCCAGACCAGTCTCTGAGAGTGGGAAGCAGACACTGGTGTTTTTGAAACTCCTCGCATGGTTCCAAAATGCAGCCAGAATTGAGAACCACTGCGCTGCTCTATGGCCTAGATTCTCAATTCTCAAAGTGGGGTCCAGGGACCAGCAGCACTGGCTTTTTATCAAGAGATTTGCTAGAAATACACAATCCAGGGACCCCACCCCATACCTACTATATTACAATATGCAATTTAACAGATCCTCAGTGAGTGATAGACACAGGAATATTTGAGATGTGCTTATCTAATCCACTTCCTAATTTCATGGAGATCTAATTTGTTTCCTCACTTTACCTAGAACTTTGAAGGTAAAAAAGCAGCTACTCTAGAAATTGAATACACAGCTAGTTAATGATATAGCCCTAGCCAGACACTGGGATCACATTCTGCCTTCTTTTCTATGCCCTGCTTCTTCTTCCTAATACCTCCCCGAATGGGTAGCCATTAGGGTATAGTAGGGCTGCCTCAAAAGAGGGATGATCTTCTGCTTTCATTCTGATGCTTCCAGAAATTCTATCCCCCAAATGAGTCTCAACCTTCCAGCTTAATAGGGGATGTCAAGCTTAATGAGGTATGTTCCTCTTCACATTTTATTGCCAAAAAAAAAAAATTGCTATAAATCCTTAACCAAAGACTTTTAGCTATTCCTTGAGCTCAATGTTTTCATATACCCCAGAAATATAACTCACCCAGAGCAGACAAACTACACTTAGCCTTCTATTCTATATAGGAAGCTTTCACATTTTAAAAAAAAATGCATGTCTTTTTTTTCAAATACAATTTTTATCTGACCATAGAAAAAATTAGAAAATGCTGAAAAGCAGGGGATGGTAAGAAGAAATAAAAAGTAAAAAAAAAAAATACTCATCATGCCAGCAGACAAGTCAATCATGGGTAACCATTGTGAACATTTTCATTCATTTCTTTCCTATTTTATTCTATGTCTATTTTTTATACCCCTGTGATCACATTATAGGTAACTGTCAGAGTCTTCTGCTATTTTGAAGCATCTATCTCCCAGTTTCCTCCATTGAAGAGATAAATTTAAGGCAGTGAATCTCAACTTAGTTACAGATTAGAATCAATAGAAAGGCTTTCGATATCTAAGCCATGTCCCAGACCAATTATATCAGAATCTCTGAGGGGTGAATAAGAATCAGTATTTCTTTAAAACATTTTAATTTGAACAAATATTAGCTCACAGAAATACTTCAAAAACAGTAATAAGAATTCCATGTACCCTCAACAGCTTCTTCTAATATCTAGAATTAGACCAATATTTGTTTATTTTGTTTTATTTGTTTTGAGACAGGGTTTCCCTATGATGCCTAGACTGGCCTTAATCTTGTGATCCTCCTACTTCAGCCTCCTGAATCCTATCAAAATTTAGTATATATAATAAAGGAGTCACGTCAAACCCCTGGAAAAAGATGGAATTTTTAATAAATGGTGCTTTTTAATAAATTCTGCTAAACATTTGAAAGAAGATAAAATTAGATCCATATCTCACACCACACACAAGAATAGATTCAATGAATCTAATGTGAAAAATGAAACCACACAGGTATATAAAAATAAAAGGGAAAATGCCTCTACCACCTTGATGTAGCAAAAGGCTTCCTAATCATGCCTCCAAATCTACTGGCAATATAAGAAAAGACTGATAAATGTAGTCACATAATTTTTTTTTTAATTTCCAGGAAAAAAACATGATAAACAAATTCAAAAAAGACAATGGACAAGGCTGGGAATTCTCAGTGTTTGGCTAGCGTGTGCAAGGCCCTGAGCTCAATCCCTAGCACATACCACAGATAAAGAGCTAACACTCATAATATATAAAGTCCTCTTAAAAACTGATCAAATATCTATTATAAAAAGTAAAAGAAGACATAAAAACATAATTCACAGAAAGATACAAAATGATCCCCAAATATATGAAAAAAAATGTCCACACTCAGTCTTAATAAGAGAAATGTCAACTGAGGCAACACTGAAAAGCCATTTCTCATCTATCAACCTGGCCATTTAATTTTTTTTTTAAGTTGTCGATGGACCTTTATTTTATTTTAGTTATATGTGGTGCTAAGAATTGAACCTAGGGCCTCACACATTCTAGGCAAGCACTCTACTACTGAGCCACAACCCAGCCAGCTGGCAACTTTTTTGAATGACATAACATTTAGTTGGTAAGACTGTGCAGTGTCAGAATATCCATAAGGCTCCTCAGGTAATTCTGATGCTCAGCCAAGATTACATATCATTGGTTTAAGGCAATGGTCTCAGTTGAAACTTCATAACAGAAAATGACATTTTCCCTAAAATTCAAAGCCTTTCTTCACTCCCCTATTTCCAGCAATCCTTAGCTAGCATGGAAATTAAATTACATGCCTATATATATATATATTTTTTTTTTTTTAAAAAAGCAAACAAAGTTTGCTACGTACCACTGCAGTTTTTCTAACTCTTCTGGTGAAGAGGGGCAAGGTGTCCTGACAGAACAGCAGCACTCTTCTGAAGGAGACACAAAGAAAAGGAAAAAAAAATCATGGTCAAGAATAAAGTAATGTAGAAGTTCAGACCCATCAAATATATGGTTCTTATACTGCCTGCATGTTAAATAGAGATTGTCTATAACTGGTGGTAAAATTAATCAAATGCCTTTGTATTGGCAATTACACAATTATATAGTAGGTGCTCAAAAATGGTAATTGAGTGAATGCTTTTTTTTTTCTTGTTTGGTTATATTCATGTAACATCAATCACTGTTCAACACCTAAGAGGAATCAGAAGTAAACATATCCTGGAGAACATTATGTTAATTGAAATAAGCCAGGCACAGAAAAACAATACCACATGATCTCACTCTGATGTGGAATCTAGAAGTCTAACTCATAGAAACAGAGAATGAAATGGTGGCTCCCAGACTGGGGAGATGTTGGTTAAAGGACACAAAATTTCAGTTAGAATAATAAGTTCTAGATATCTATCATACAACATGGTGACTACCCTAAGTAACAATATATTGTATACTTGAAAATTGCTAAGATTTTAAATGTTCTCACCACACCAAAAAATGATAAGTATGTGAGGTAATGTATATGTTAAACAGTTTGATTTAGCTATTCCATAATGTGTATCAAAACATCATACTGGACACCAAAAATATATACAATTTTTTGCTTGTTAATTCAAAAAAGAAGTAAACATATCCCAGTAACAATCCAAACAATTCTCCCTCTCAACAGGGTTTGTTTTTATCAAGTTTTCTGATGGCATATTGAAATTTTATAAGAAATCAGGAAAAATAACCTTCTTGAGCTTTCTAAAAATTTCTCAAGGACAAAAGAGTCAAACAGAAAGCTGAAACATATGCAAACTTATTAATTATATTTTTAATTATAAAAGCACACATCGAGAGTAATGAGTAAATGAACACAGCAATAGAGACAACTTACCCATTGGTCGAATATGTACTCTTTTCAAAGCAACCATTATAGCACACACATTCATTGTCTTATTCAGTTTTATTGTGAATGTACAATTTAATGTGCTGTAAAGAGAAATATATAACCAGAATGTTATATATGACATTTATAGAGATTCACATTCATAGATGTTGCAAACAGATGCTTGTGGTTTGTTTTGCCTGTCTGTACAATGAACAGACTGGGGTGAGACTTGGTTGCAAAGGTAAGCACCTTGACACCTTTAGTCTCCCACTGCCACAGCTGGCTACTTGCTTGGTGTCTACAGACATTTGAGTTTCCATCATGGGAACCCTTTCACAAACCAGTCTAGATGAATGTCAAGGTCTGTTAAATCCCAAATCTCTCTGGCAATCTAGATTATCAGATAACTAAGAATTTAAGACATTCTCCCTGTTTCTTTCTACTTTAGTCTTGGTGTAGGTGGAAAAAAAAATAATGCTGCAAAAAATGAAGAGGCAAGGGAACTGAATTAAAAACATAAATAGGGGACAGAGAGTCAACTTATAATTTCATGGAAAACTTGTCATGATTTGTACCAATGAACAGTTTGATGAGTGGAAATTATCATTTTCTAGGACTTGGACTCTCATAGAACACTCATGGTTCTCATGGTGAGATTATTGCTATATAAGCCACTGGCTAATGCAGGCTTATGCAGGACAACCAATGGATGCAATTTAAAAGGGTTATTTATCTGTGCAACCCCAATAATTGTTGGACAATTTCTGATTTTCTCTTGTATACATTTTAATTTCCACTTTTCTCTTTTCTTCCTCCAATCTTTTCCTTCCCTCTTTCTTCTCATTCTGAGTTCCATATTGTGTTTCCTCTTTTCTGTCTGAATTTCACCATGCCTGGACCACTATGAGCCATTTTTTGGTCATATTGGTAGCCCTCAGAGATAAGAACATTGATGAGCCTCAGCCTCATAGAATCAGAGGCAAATGGTCTGATATCAGATACCTCTCCCTCAGTGCTTAATAAGGAAATTAAAAGATAGATTGACGAAATGATCAGTGTTAGGAAAAATAAAACTATATAAATCCAAAATGTCACTAATAACTATGTATTTATGTTAGAGGAAAGCCTGTGAATTTACAACTTAATGAAGACTCCTTAATACTTTATTTCTCCCAAATGGAGAAATAATAAATATTTATTAAAGAATTTAAGGTGACTGACCTTTGGGCCTCTGCTGTAGCACACACTATAAAATAAGTCTGAAATAAACAAAATTATATGTTATTTTGACAGCTGGAAAAGACGACCCAGGGTGAATCACAGAATTTTAGAACTACGAGTATCCTTAGAGATCACCCCTTTTATACTCCTGCTAGATAAAAGTTATTCAGGTCATACAAGTTCTACTTGGGATTCCTCCAGCACCAGAAAGCTCAGTAGTACACAAGGGAGCACATTCTCCTGGAGTTTTCATTTTAAGAAATGTTTGGTCTTACAGGAAGGAAAATCTATCTCCTTCATATCCACTCACTGCTCCTAGTTCTGACTTTTGGATGCTAGTCCATTCGCTCTTTTACATGACATATTTGGGAGAATTTGAATACATATCTCCCAGGGAATACAAAACTCCATGGTTCCCCCCAAATAGTAACAATGATTACAAACAAGGTACAGGGTATACTGTGATTACCTCACTTAAGGTTTGTAGGGTTTTGTTGAGCTCTGATCGTCTGTTAATAAAATCAGAGAAATTGACATTAAGGCGACCATTAGTGATGTGAAATTCAAAACAAGTTAGATTTTTAGCATTTAAATCAAGCATGTGGTATTTATTGCTCACAGTGTTCACTTTGAAGAAACACGGGGCATAATGAGAGATTGCTATGTGGGAAAAATAAATTATTTATATGTCAGGGGAAACTAATCAGACGGGAGCTGTACTGGTTCTAGCTAAGAGCAAGATATAAATTATGGTGGAACAATCTTGTTATTCATTAAGCTAGTGCACCCCCCCCCACCACCACCAGCAGCTTCTTCTGGCAGAGGGCCAGAGGAAGAGCTGGCCCCAGGCAAGCATTTCTGAGAGGGGCAAGCCACTTATCCTGTACCTCTGATTAATTCCTCATTCCTCTCCAACTCAAACAGCCTGCCCTCTCTAGCACTCTCCAGCCCTGCCTTCCCCTCCTCACAACTCCCCTTCAGGAATTTCTCTCAATCCTCTCTACCATTCCCATTCCAACAATATTTTCATTTCTTCAACATTTCAGAGTTTCACTGAAGTTAGGATGAAAGAAATCTAATTAAAGAATTCGCCTTAAGGCAAGGATTTTCAGTGGGAGTGGGAGGACATTTGGCAATGTCTGGAGACATTTTGGGTTGTTGCACTGGCTGGGAGGGTGCTACTCCATGGATACTGTTAAATGTCCTACAATGCATAAGACAGACCCCCAAAACAAAGAATCCTCAAGCTTAATAGTGCCGGTGCCAATGCCAATACCGCTGAGGGGGAGAAACCTGCTCCAAGGAATGGGCAATAGTTCTAGATAGCTCCAGGCAAGGTCTGAAAGGAAGAAGAGAAGGACCACTGAAATAGTCAGCTAGCTCTTCAAACTGGCAGGAGCCACTCACTCCTCTGATTGTACTCAGAGATCACCTCCTTCCTGGGAGTTTCCAAGGGCCCTCCAGCACACCTAACTGCTCCTCCTGCTCTACTGTCTGATCCTTGGGATGTCTTTTGGTACTCTGTATATGCCCCCTTCATGAAGTTGTGTCTCTCTGTGACAGAGTAAGACTACTTATGTCCTAGGCCATCTTGTTGGCTGACATTTTCAAACTCTGCTCTAACTGGGGGCAGCTATTTATAATGCATTTCTCATTGTTCTTGTCCTTGTAAGCCGAGGTCTACTTAACAAAAATCTTTCTCTGACTTTTGAATCACTGAGGCTTCATGAAAAACATAAACAAACGGTATACATGGAGTCCTATCTGGAACCCTTTGAATCATGCTGGATACCAAATCATATTAAAATGCAAATAACTCAAATGAAATTGTTGTGTAATTTCACAGCATCAGAGAGAACAACCTCATGGGGATAATAGTTGATGATAGCTGACTTTGGTTAGTTTGGTTAGTAAGCAAGAACAAATTAACTGTATATCCTTTGGGTCTGTCTCTTCCCATTCTTGGTTTCCAAAGCAAAAACAGCTCATCAAGTATCTTTCCACAGTTGATGTCTGAAATTTTCAATCAAACAGTAGAGTACTCACTTCAATTCACTTAGAGACAGCACTCCAGAGTAGGTGCCATTAGTTATATCTTGATTCTGTTGGAAGCAAAAAATTAAGAATAAAATGAATATCACTTATTTTGTTTTTGTTTGTTATATACTCTAACAAGAAGTTGTTTTGCACTTTTGTTAGACACTCAAAGAATTACACCCCAAAGACTGAATCCTAACCCATGGAATATTGTCCATCAGATGATCAAATTGCTGTTACATAGATTCAACTAATTTGTGTGTGTGTGTGTGTGTGTGTGTATGTGTGTGTTGGGGGGGATTAGAACGCAGGGCCTTGTGCATGCAAGGCAAGAACTCTACCAACTGAGCTATATCCCTAGCTCCCAAATTGCTGTTACATAGAAAGGGTGGAGGGAGTGGTACTCAAAAGTTAATCAATATTAACTGGCTAAGCCAGTTTCTGGTTTATGTTTTCTTAAAAGAAATCCTGAGTCAGCAGCTCTTATGTGCTATTTTCTGTCTTTTTTCAATTCAAGGGTTCCCTCAAAAGAACACTAGTAAAGCTCTCTTCATGACAGCCCCAGATTTAAGTAACAAGACCCCAATGTATAAAGGGAAACTCGATAGCAGCCACTACTGCATTTTTAGCACCTAGTTCGTGGCCTAGCATATAGTTGGTGCCCAGGGAATATTCACCAAATGAATAACATGTTTGTCTGGGATTCTCTGAACCAATATAGGTTATGGGAAGGTTGATACCATTGTAACTGAACCCCCCATATGGGGAACACAATTAGATACGGAAGATTATTCCTAGACTCAATATAGATATTTCTTGTTGCTAGGAGGTTTTAAGATAATTTTAAATTTTAAACTGGTAATGAAATTGCATCATATTAACATTCTTATTTAGCAGCAAACCTAGTGAAAACTAAACTATAATTATTAACAAGATACTATGATTATGGATTCAAGTCCTTACCATAAAGCTAGGGATTCAATAATACATATTTTATTTAAACTTGGCATAAAAGTAAATATGCAAATAGGATAAATAATCTGAACCTTCAACAAATCTTTAAATACATGCAAATTCACATTTTAAGAGTACAATAAGAAAAAAAACTTTAAAACCTACCTGGGTAATGTTGTGTTCTTCATCATATTGAAACATTATCTCACCTCTAAAAAACACTAAAAATAAATTTTCAAAAAGAAATTTGAGACTTGTATCCTTACAATTTGAGGATTAATACAACACATGAAAAGATTAGCAAATTCCTTTATAAACAGTTTTGTTTTTACTCCCATTTACTCTCTTGCCTATCAATAAGCTACTCAATGATAGTCAACATAATTTTTAGAAAATATGAACTATAAATTTTATGTGGGAATTCAGAAAGAGAGGAACTTGTCTCCTTATGAAGAAATTTATATCCCAATCTGCTTTTTTTAAAAAAAAAAAAACAAAACTTTGTTTCCTTTAGAGGTAAGTGGGAGAACAAGGTGTGGTGGCTATAATCCCAGCAACTCTGGAGACAGAGGCAGAAGGATCACAAATTTGAGGCCACTCTAGACAACTTAGTGAGACTCTGTCCCAAAATAAAATAAAAAGGGGTATACATCAGTAGTATAGCACTTGCCTAGCACGTGTGAGGCCCTGAGTTTAATCCCTAATACTGAAAAAATAAATAAACAACAAAAACAAAAAGAAAAAAACCCCCACAAAATCTAGGGGAACTGTGACTTTGATGTTAACTTAAAACAAAAATGTCTTTTCAAGTTATAGTTACAGTTACATAAATAAAGGAGGGAGGGGGAAAGGAGCAGCTAAGCAGCCTTATGGAAGTCTACTTATTGTTCATCAGTTTTTCAATTTAGTTTTTGTTTTTAAAATACAACTACCAAATGCAATATCTTTCCCAGAAACACAACTGAGATTTTGCTTTGAAACCTGAATAGTGTGCAGGAAAATTCTTCCTTCAGTTGAACAACTCATTTTTGCTTTCTCTTCAGATTTGCCAGAAAACCTTGTTCTTAAAATGCTGACTTTGGGAAATATTAAATTCAATTTCAGTCAACCTATTTCCTGTAGGGTACACCTAGGGGGCTCTATCTGGAAATAAATAAAATGGAGACTCTTAAACAGCAAAGTATGCATTTCATCACAGGAACCCAAACCTGGCCTTTTGAGCAATGGGGCAAGGATGTCATATACACCAAAGTAGAGTTTGGCCAATGTTTTTGGTGACCAATCAGTTAGTAAATACTTGAGGTTTTATGTTCTCTGTTGTAATTCTGCCACTGATCATGAAAGCAACCACAAAAAATGGATGTAGGCCAATAAAACTTGATCTACAAAAACAGGTGGCTGGCCATATTTGGACTCTAGGCAGTAATTTGCCAACCCCTGAGTCAGAGTTGAACGCCTCCTCAACTCAAGGTACTACAACTGATTCCCATGGCCATGTATCCTATGGTCTACTTCCACTTAAAAATGGCTGAAAAATCCACATAAGCAGTGATTAACATGACCTATTTCTACTGAGAACTTCAATTTTTGAATATTGATACTGAAATTTCAATTAATGCAGTATATAATTATTAAAAGTAAATATACTTGATATCTGCATAGCATTACTTATCCATTTAAAAAAATTTAAAAACCTTTAGCTTTTAAAAGCATATTTAGATTCTGTATGTCTGTGAACACTGAAATCCACAATTTCTCTCCCTCACATTCTTGAGTGCATGGTGAATTTCATAAATGTGCTGGGAGCACAGTAGTTCTGGTTTGCACAGGGCAACCAAGAAGCCATCACATTTGACCCTTAGTCTGACTCTTCCTGGTCATCTCTCAACTTCTTCACCAGCCTCCACTTCCTTTAATGGACCTACATTGGAAACCTGCAAAAAGCAAAGGTTTCTAGTTTCTGGCAGGATATCATGGTATTTCTGGTGCCAGAAGAGTTGGTTCTCTGATGAGGTTGTTTTCACCAGACACTAAAACAAATGGTCAATTCAGTCACTTAACTGGGGAAAACATTACACCAACCAGCTTTCTGGCATCTGTTATTCAAGATGACCAGGTTTTTCTTTTTTGACTACAAGTTCAATTTTCAAACAGTTATCAAATATGTAGACACAACACGGAACTAGACATTAGTCACCAGCCTAAAACATGGATGAGGCACAAAAATAATGACTTTATGGGGAATTCAGTAAAGAGAAGAGTAAAAAAGGAGGGAGAAAAGGAGGAAGAAAAGAGATGCAATATGTGTGTGTGTATACATACATATAATTATTTATTATATAATGTATCCTATAATTCATTCCTTTCATCAAAATCACCTAATATTTCCTTTTTATATTCCACCCAGAGCATAATATCAGCAGATAGCTCAGATGAGCAAATCTCATATTCACACAATAGAAAGTGTTTCTACTTTTTCACGTTCTCTAATTTATCCAACCTTACGTTATTTTACTTGAAATTGTTATCTATGTTTTTCAAACAAATTCTAAAACTATTCAAAGGAACAGAATAAAAGGGGGAAAACCTATGATTGTTTATTACTGGAGACATACCAAGATTTTAATATCATAAAATACCTTGTTACCATTTTCTTCTCTCTTCCCATGATCTCCTAACCCTTTCTGACATGCCACATCATATTTTTCTGTTTTCTGTTTTTCACTTTTGCTTTCATTGGTTTTCATAACGTGGGGAGCCCAGAGAGCCAAATCAATGTGAGAAAAGTGGTTATTTCATTCCTCTGGCCCGTGGCAGAAAGAAAAATATTCCTATTTTAAAATAGCTTGTTCTCAAGAGATTTCCATCTTAACTTTAAAAAATAGTGGACAGTCTTGGTTAGAGATGGCAAAACACAATATGGACACAACTGGAATTAGCGTTTAGTTGAATTAGTTGTATATGAGGTTTCAACATTCTAGCAGTCAGGTTTGTTTTATTCTTAGCAAAGGACAACATCCTGTTTCTAAGCTATATTATTTAAGGTCCTACAGGAAAGCTTGAGGGATTTATATACAAAAAGTGACTTTCACTAATTAGTAATAATCTCATTATTATTCATGAATTAACACTAAGAGTATTAGTTATGAATTTAAAGCTACAGTGAAAAATATTTGTTGTAGCACTTTATGTCTCATATTAAGGAAGTTAATTCATCCTTTCACTAAACAATGGGAAGATAATTCCAGCCAGATCTAAAATTCACTTTTGTTTTATTAGGGACTTTTGGTAACCAGGTGGTATAAAAACAGACATCTCAGAGAGGCACACACATACACAACAGGAAAAAACCAAATCAAATCATTTTTCTCTATGGAACAAATTTATCTGGTAATGTATAATGTATACAAGAACTAACCTGAATCATTGCAAATAGATGACAAATTGCAGATATTTCTCTGGGATTTGACTCCTGCAAAAAAACAACAACCTAGCTGGTTAAGCACATCAACACCTGCAATTATATACTACATTGTCAAGAATATTCACAAACGTAGGCAAATGTGGACCAAAAATATTAAGAAACTGGATAAAACTGGCTGGATGAATTTCACAGAGACTAAAGGAATGAGAGTCTTCATTTAGTTGGTCAGCTATGGAACTTGACTCTTTACTATTCTATAGTATGTCAGTGTCTGACTTTCAACTCCTTCCTAAAATTTTTTTGTTTCATTCACAATTAACCTTTTGCTTGTCCAATATAAAACAGAGCACCAGGTAACAAATCAAGTATAGAGACCATAAATGGAATAGGCCTCAAAGATTGTCTTTCCCTTCCTGGATTGGAGAGTCCCCAAATACTCTAATGTTAGTCCTAGCTCTCTATGCAAATGTATGTATGAAATAACATTAATGTCATGATATTGTTTCATGAGCAAAAACTACAAAATTCAAAATGTATTTGCTGTGCACCTACCATATTCTACAGGTTTGGGGAGGTTCAGATATAGACCCTGCCCTCAAGGAGCTTACAATCTAGAGGTCGATACTGGCCAGTATATAAAAAGTTTTAGTGCTAATCAGGACTTCAGATCACACGAGCATACCAAGGAGGCAGAATGGGAGAAGAATGGGAGAAGAAATGAACCATGTTAGAACAAAAACTCCAAACAGATATATCTGAGAAACACTTTCTCCTTTAGTGAAAGGAGAAGTACATCTCTTTGTTTGAAAAGAGCTCAAGGTTTACTTCTCTAAGAGTCTTTCCTTCACTAATTGCATCTTTTGGTGAAGCATAAGAAATCCATAGTAAATGGGAGGGGCAAATGCTGACAATGTACTAAGCAAATTGCCAAGGGGAAAAGAGGGTTATATTAAGGAATCTTTCAGTCTCTTTGCTAGGTTCTGTATGGTCAGAATTATGTATGCAATGCCAATTGCTAGTTAATTTTCATTACATGTTTGTCCTATGAAAAAACTATAAAACTTATTATTTGAAATAGAAATAGAAAACTATTAAAACTATAATTTGACTTAGTGCGAGTGATATGGTTTCGGTCAGAATGATTTATTGGTGTACGGGCATCATGCTTCAGCTAAGAGTTTTGATTCTGTGAACAAACTGAATTTAGGTGCCCAAAGTTAGATAAAGATTTCTATATTCTTCCATAGCAATGTTACCCACACCAGAAGAGGAAGATTTCACTTTAAATATAGTTACTTATAGCTCACTATAACATACATACAATGCAAATGTTATAGAATATATAGATGGTGGGTAGTAATGCTTTCTTTAAAGCATTGATCCATTCTTGCTATACTTTTCATTCTACCATCTCTACCTGCATCTCCATTTCCAGTGATGTGGGTCTTTTTGTTGCTCTTTCATACCGAGAATTTTCTTTCCTGTTTCTAGGCCCATTATCTGCACTACAGCTACTTACTGGTCACTCCTTAAATCCTGAATGAGAAAACTGTCTTAAAAGGGTCAGATACTAAATATTTTAGGCTTTGTGGGTTATATGTTTTCTGTTGCAACTACTCAGCTCTACCATTCTATGTAGCAGAAAAGTAGCCATAGAAAATATGTAAACGAATGGACATGGCAGTGTTCCAATAACATATTTTACAAAAACAGGCAATGAACCAGATTTGGCCCATTGGCAATAGTTTGCCAACCCCTGTCTGAAGTCAATCAGAGGGCTTTGTTAAACTGAGCACAGTGGTGCATGCCTGTAATCCCAGCTACTCTGATGGCTGGAATCAGGAGGAAGACGAGTTTGAGGCCTTTTTAGCCTAGAGAACTTAGCAAGTCCCTGTATTTAAAAAAAAAAAAAAAAGAAAAGAAAGAAAGAAAGAGAAAAGAAAAGTCTTTGTTAAGTATATCTTGTATGCCTAGTCTTGTATTAGGTACTTAAAAGTATATCCTTGCTTTGCTTTAGAAAGAATTTGAGGTTCACTCCTCTCTTTCATTAATTGCATCCTGTTCATAAACTCATTACCACTAGTCCTTCTACCTCCTATGTCTCTTAATCATGAGAAATGCTTGTGGGGTTGTGGGTGTAGTTCAGTGGTAGAGTACATGCTTAGCATGCAAGAAGCCCTGGGTTTGATCTCCAACACCAAGGGGGAAAAAAGAGAGTGAGAAAGAGAAATCCTGGTGGAATTATTGCCTTTATCTGCATGCATGTTCACATTTGTGACCTGCTTCTTTGACCTGTCTCCCTCTGAGACTAGAAGATTCTTGAGAGAGGGCACTGTGCCTGATCATTATTATACAGCCCTTAATGTCTAGTACAACTTCAGATACCCAGTACCTACACATCTATTCATTAAGAACAGATTTTACTTTTAAAAAAAGAAAAAGAGATCATAAACACCAGCCATTTGTTTAATTTTACCTTAGTTATAAAGAAGAAAGTCTTGATATTTATAATAAGTCATACCTGATGCATTGAAGGTTTTTACTATAGTGATTTTAGTTTTTTCTGCAAAGAAGCAATTTAAATATTAGAGCACAATTGTTGCTTGTTTTTAAAAAACACTTTGCCATGAATATCATTTTTTAGTGAAGTGCTTTCACTAAAATCACACCGTTGACATCTTTTTAAGACATGATTGGTCATCTCAGCAGTGGAATGGGGACCTGCACAGAAATTGTAGCATTGGCATGGGGTGGGCCTGGGAGTTGGATTCCCATGTTTACCCAGTTAGATCACACCCATTACACACCCCACTGCTTGTGTAATTCTACTCCAGTTTCCAGGCACTGCTGCTAGACCAACAAATGTGAATTTCAGATACGTGGAATTAAGTCACTCTCAGGACCTCTGGGTGATAGGTTGTAAAGGGTAGGTGATTCAGAGTCAAAATTAATGTGAGTCAATACACATAGGATCTAAAATACTGCTACTGCAGTCTACAGTCAAGCATCCTGCTGTTTGCTTTAACAGTTATCCCTATTGTACTGATAGATAAAACTATTTTGAGAGAGGTCAAAACCATCCAACTATAGTCACACAACAAGCCCACAGCAGAACCAGAACTGTTTAAAGTTAGGAACTCACAGGCAAATATTAACATGTTCTAAAGAAGCAAACCTTAAAAATATCATTACATTACAGTTGGGAGACAAAGCCCATGGTTCATTTGCCAGATAATGGAGAACCAGGTTCAGCAATCCATGCCATCAGGATGGCCAACTATAAGAGGCTGTGTTCAGGGCACAGATTTGCAAAGTTCTGTCTCCTAGTGCAGATGGGGAAATTCTGAATAAAAGAATAAGCTTGAAGCTTGGAGATAACACTTATGAATGATGTTATATTGACAACTTCAAAAACCTCATTTGTGTGTGTGTGTGTGTGTGTGTGTGCTATTGATGAGTTCATTTCACTGTGTGACTCATGGGCAATGGTTGGTAGTAATTACAGAGACTGCATTATCATTAATAATCCTTTAAATATATTGTTTTGTTTGCCCTGATATTCAACCTCATTAATAATCAAGAATGAAAAATAATCTGGGTGCAATGGTATACTGTAATCCCAGCAGCTTGGGAGGCTGAGGCAGGAGGGTCACGAGATCAAAGCCAACCTCAGCAATTTAGGGAGGCCCTAGGCAACTCAGTGAGACCCTGTGTCTAGACAAAATACAAAACAGGGCTGGGGATATGGTTCAGTGAGTAAGTGCCCTCTAGGTTCAATCCCCTGCTACCAAAAAAGAAAGAAAGAAAAGAAAAGAAAACCTAAGTAATTGAGAGAAAAATTAATAATATACTATAATCCTAACAAAGGTACAGTGACATATATAACCTCATCCACTGCTGCAAGGAATGTTGCTGGACACAACCCTCTGGAAGGTAATTGGACAGTGGGTGTCAAGGGCCTTAAAATATTCATACTTTATGTCCAATCCTTGGAATGTATCCTACAGAAATCAAGGATGAATGAAAAGTATTGGCACCAGGATGTTCATTGGAATAACCTCTATTAAAAAAATAGAAACAACTTTAGTGTTCAACATATGGTATACAATGGAATGTTATCAAGTCATTAAAAGCAAGAGATATTGGCAAATACTTATAATTTAATATTAGGTCAGAAGAGCAAGATATAAAAATCTACATAAACTATGAGTACTTTGCAAGAGACATATACATAAGATATATGTATATAAATACATGCATATATTATACTAAATGAAAATATACCAAATTTTAACAGTAAGTCTTAGAAAAGTAACATTAAAGATGATTTCTATCCTCCTTCTTTGTATTTCTCTATATTTTCCATTTTTATGAGCTACCATGTATCACTGTGATAATAAATGTTATTTAAATGAAGTGCTACTGCCATAATAGTTCATAAGTTTGAGAGTGATGACAACAGAATTATAGTTCAATGTCAAAGTCAAAGGAATAATAATAGTTGAAAGCTCAAGAAAGTTAGCAAAGGAAAACTTCTCTTTACTAACCCGTAGACCACACAAGTGAAAAACTCAAGAAGTCATAGAAGAAATGCTATGACATTTAGTAATAACTTGATATTACCTGTCTTGTTTAATGTAGACAATACACTGGAAGTAGCATCTGAAACAAAATAATAAAAATTAGTGTAACTACTGGCATGGTTAACAAACATGACTCTTCTAACATTCCTTAAATATTTTACTTTTCCTAAAATCCAGAAGTTAGTTTTGCAAAAGTATGCATTTGCTGCCCATCCCCTTACTACTATCCATTCTCCCACTCCTGAAGATTAATTGAACAAATGTCTGTTCTTTCAAAATGCGTTTCCTGAATGCCAGTTACATATCTAACACATAACAACACTCCCATAATTATTAGATTTAAATAAACTCATTTATGTTGTTTAGTTTTTGTCCTTTACAATAATGAAATTCCCTAAGGGATATGAAATTTCAAATGTTGATATCAACTTTAGTACATAGTGGTAGGGAGGCTGAATGTTTCTTCCGGTGGTATAGTCTTTTAAAGTAATTTTAACTAAGTCTAGTTTAAATTTGAAGTTCTTTTTTATATATACCTTTATTTCACTTATTTATTTTTAATGCGGTGCTGAGGATCGAACCCAGGGTCTTGCACATGCTAGGCGAGCACTCTACCGCTAAGCCACAATGCCAGCCCCTAAATTTGGAGTTCTTAAACAGTACATTCAACTAACTTTTAGGAAAAACCTCTTTTGATAGTGTTTGATCTAAAATCCAACTTTGAATCTATTCTATTGTTATTTCTTTAAATGAAAAGCATTCAAGAATTTATTATTCTGGATGAAAATTTTTAAGGAAAAATATAAAAGGTATCACATTATCACACTTACATACACACACACACACACACACACACAGATCCAAACACTGCTACAAAGCTAAATTGAAGATGTTCTTTTCACTGTAAAAAGTAATTACACATAAAAATTATAACCTTTGGCTCTTCCCATTGGGCCAAATATGAATTTAAACCAGTTTTTGATCAGTATAAGTTGCAACTATGATTAGCTCCTTAACCACCAACCACATGGTGAGATTTTATTTTAACTAAGCGATTCTGAAAAGTGTTGGGGTTAGACCGCAGTAAGATGGAAGGCTATCTACCCACAAAGAGGATGGAACAGAATGTGCCGCCCGGCCTACCTCCCTTGAATACAGCACAAAGCTCTGTCCTTTTCTCTAGCACAGTGAGGAAGCCAGTTTTTCCCCCATTTCATACTCTTTAAAAATCGATCAAATCATCTGTAAAAAGGCTGTCTTTGAACACTCTGTGCCTTCAAATCCATGCTGAACCATATTGAAATCACTGGATGTGCTTTTCACATTTAAACATCTGTCATGCAAAACCTTATGGCATTGTGTTGTACAGCAAGTGAAATGGAGTACTCAAAATTTCTTTTCTAGAGCAGTTAAGAGTGGTGGAGGGCTGTCTTCCCTCTGTGATCATAATAATTTTATTATTTAACCAGAAAGTTTAGGTCACTCTTAAGGGTTGTCAGGTTTGGGGTTTTATGAAATTATTTAATGTATTCAGAAATAATTTAGAGATGGAAATCTGCCACAATGTTCATTATACTTATATACATATTAACAGTTATCAGTTTTCACTTGCTCCAGAAAAATTCTTACCATTGAGGCTTGTAGTTTCAGCCACTTTTTGTTACAAGGAGAAAAACAATACAAGGTATCATTAAAACAAAAATTTAACAAGTTGGGCTAAATCTATGTTTAAATTTTTTCAAAGTCTTGCCTGGAGTACCATTGGAGTAGGGGACAAAACTGACAAGAGATGATTCAGCTGCAGGAGAGAAAAAGAAAATTTTAAAATAAATACTTTGAAACAGTTATGTATTAATCAGAACTTCTGAGGTATAAATATAAAAAGAAAACATGCTCTGAGACCCATGATCACAAAGCCTGCTACTACCTATGGAATATCATGGAAATAATCTTAGGAAACACACCAAAATAAAAGAAATATTACATTCAAAATTTTCAACCAAGAGAATTCTAGAAAACATTTAAAATAATGTGTTGAACTACAATCATGAAATATATTCACATACTGGCTTACAACGGTGCCTGGCAACGCATCCCACAGTGAATTTAGGATTATAAAGACAAATTGATACCACTCAATATTGTACTACCTAACACAATTTCCCAGGAAGCTATTTTAAAATATGGCTGCTATTAAGACAATCAATTGAGTAATAAATTTCCTGTGGAGTGACTCTATTTAGGTTAAGAGGTCAACCTACTACACACATCTTACATGTTTAAATATTAAAAAGATCTAGTGGCTTGACCTCTACCTAAACATGGGAAAAACAAGCACAAACATTTTACAACTAAATCAAGTTTTTAATTTATCTGTAATTTATTTGCCTCCCTATTCTAGCAAGTGCTAAGCTTTTAGAAGCCTTTTGAAGCCTGATTTTTCAGCTGGTATGGACAAACTTTGGGTGTGTCAAGATGGTTGGCTGGACTGTCTGTTTTAGACTGCTCATGCATTGGCTGAAACACACACACCCTGTCTGTCCCACATTATTGCTTCCATATTTTGTCATTTGCTACATTTATTTTTTTTTAAGTTGGCAAGGATATTTCATGAGGAGTAAGACAGTTCCTGAGGGATAAAATCAAAGTGCAGATATGGACTTCTTTGCTATTGGGGCAGAACAAAATAACTGGTCAGAGCTGGTTTTTAATTAATGACTATTCGTTCTTCCAAATGTTAATGAATGGTGATATCACACAAAGAAGAGGCTTATGGGCACAGCTGTCTTTGCCCTTCAATGCTACACTGGCTCTTCCCCAGGGCACTCAGAACCTAGGCTGTGACTAGTGCCAGTGTGTACCCGCAAAGCCCTGTTCCTCATTCTCTGCAAACAAGATTTTGCAGATATCATCATAATCAAGTTCGCTGAAAGTTATTCTACTAAAAGAAAAATACACTGGCCTACTCTACCCTGGAAGCTTAATAACCAGGGGACAAATTGGCATGGTAAAAAGGGCTTGGGCTTTGGTGGCATGCAGTCCAGGTACAAATCTTTGCCCCATAACTTAGTAATTCATACTAATGATAGTTAATTTAGTAAGGGCTTACTCTGTGCCAGGCACATGTATCCTTTCATTTTCACAAAATGAAGCAGGTACTGTTCTTCTAATTAATAGAAGAGGAAACTGAGGCATAGAAGGGTGAAGGAACTTGCCCCAAATCAGAGCTGGCAATGGGGGTGGGAGGGTGGTAGCCAAATTCAAACTCTAATAGTCTGGTTCCAGAGAATGTATGATCATGAGCAAGTTTTCCCTGCTGAGCCTCATCTGTAACATACAAATAATGATTCCTATCCTGCAACACTGAGAGGAATTGGAAGATGTTTGAAGACTTCTAGGCATGTAGTATGTGCACAAGAAACAACTGTCATTATTATTAATTCCATTTAAATGAATAATAGTAGAAGCTCATTTTCACACAACTAAGGATAAAATGTGAGTTGGCTCATCTTTTATCATGAGAGATCATTCTAGTCTATATGGTACAGCAGGAAGAAATCAGAGAAGCCATGTGCTGCCTCTGTATGATGTGGAACAAGAAGCTGTGAGGTCTTTGACAAGTTACTGAGGTGCTATGGGCTTCATTCTCTCATCAGCTAAGGATTGGAGCTGGGCTATTTTATCCCTAAGGTTCCATCGCAGCTATCAATCTGGAAATAGGATACTGTTCCTAGTTCCTGCCAATATGGGTTCTAGTTATTAATTTATCTGTAATTTATTTGCCTCCCTATTCTAGCAAGTGCTAAGCTTTTGGAGGCCTTTTGAGAAATACTCAATGAGGGTACTGAGGAAGCATGTTTAAGAGAATATCTCATCATGCAAATATAAAAACATTTGGCATGTTTAAGTTCTTGATACTCTTCAGAAAATTTGTGAACTAGAACACCAAAAACAACTGAAGAACTTAAGCAGCTACCATGATGTAAACCCACAATTTATTTGTCAGTGTTGTACTCCCCAGCTTTGTTTGGCAATACGGAAGAATCAATATGGCTGTCTTCTTGTCTATGTTTGCTATTGATTTTCCAGATGTAGGTTTAATGACATAACTTAATTAAGCTACTTGCAGAAAAACAATTTTGCTATCACTGACAACATGCCATACTGTGTGGAGAACTTTTGGGATAATATTTTCCTGAAATTCCCCAAAGTCATAAAATAACAGTCTTACCAGATGGTGATAACAAACTGGAATTATCAGCATTTTCTGTCAAGGAAAAAGGTGATTTAAAATTAGTTTACTTTATGCACAAATTTGTAGGAGATGAACATCTTTAGTGGCAATGAATCTGAGTTGTAAATAGCTACCAAAAGAGGGCAGTATGTTAATTTACTATTATTCTTGACATTGATCAGTCCTTTTGAATTCTCTACAAAGACATCTCTTAGAAATGATGACTAAAAACTTCAGCTACTGCCTAATATTCATTAAAATGTGTAGAAGTAAATGTGTACATCTGCATAAATTAAACTTCCATGAACTGTGCTTCTTTTTAGCACAGATGTTAGCTCTGCTTATTCTGCCACCTCTTGTATATAATTTCAATCTGATCAGACACCTCTCAGTGTACAAACTACAAGAGCTATTGAGTTATTAATTTGGAGAAAATGCTCATGTCCCTTAAAAGTAATTCTCTTTTTTTCTCTATGTAAAATAATACATGCTTACTGGAGAAACTTCAGAAATGACAGAAAAAGAAAAGAAAAGCCACCTATAATTTTGCCACCAGAAATAAATGACATTAATATTTTAGTATATATTATTTTCCATGTGTATATCTACAATTAATGTATATTCACGTACATATGTATATATCTAAATGTATAATAAGAAGGATCATATTACACAAAACTATTTATTGTTTTATATCATTAAACAAATTTCCACAAATTGTGATAAATGCTTAGCATTTCAATGATTGGATTTAACATTTATCTATGAAAGATTTCCTTTTTAATGAGCATTTTGATGTGGACGATTTTTCTTTACAAATAATGCTGGATTTTTGCATACACACATGGCTCATTCTTTCAGAAATTCCATGAATTTTGGTTGTCAAAATGCCCTATAGAAAACTTAAATTAGTTTACAGTACCCTTTGCTATACACAACAGTGTTATTTCCCCAAACCTTCACTCACGTGAGGTGCTATAAGTTGTTAAAAAATTAATTATAAAAGAATTGTTATTTTCTTTGTGGTATTCTGACATACAATTAATAGGAAAGAATAAGTATGTTTGGAAACTAAAGTTGCATAATGAAATATACCTACTATCATATGGGAGCCTATTTTCCTGAAATGATGGCAGGGTACTTATTATTTTCAGGGATAATTAAAATCATAATTATGCTTTCAAACAGGATTGAATGATGCTTAATTCCCCACTTCCCCTGCAGCCAATAAGGCAAATATGGGCAGAGTGGTTAGTTGTCTTAGTACCCTAATGTAATTAGAATGACCTCTTCCTTAATCTCTGTTCTTTTTTTTTCAATTGATTTTTTTATTGGTTCTCAAAACATTACAATGATCTTGACATATCATATATCATACATTTGATTCAAATGGGGTATGAATTCTTATTTTTACCACGTGTGCAGATTGCAGGATCACATTGGTTATACATCCGCGTTTATACATACTGCCATACTAGTGTCTGTTGTATTCTGCTGCCTTTCCTATCCCTCATGCTACTTTTATATTCTATTGATCAGAATCTACTGAGTTAACCTTTAAAGGGTTAATTTAAAAAATATTCTTGGGAGCACTAGGGGGCAATCAGTCATTCACATGTTAGTATAAGTTAATCTGAACTGGTTGAATTCTTTTGATCATCTAGAAAAGACCTACCATACTGGGTAATATGGAAAAGCACTGGGGAAAACCATCATGAGCTTCTCTGAGAATGACACTTATTAGTTTGGGTAGGTGAAGCCGAGTGGGGCAGGAGTGTGGCAAAGGCAGGGAACAGGATGAAGGTACTGGGGGATAGTGGAGTACCAGAGAATAGGGATGCAGAGTGATGCTGAAGTGCAACAGAACCTAACACAGCTTCCTTAACAATTCCACTCCATGACTAACCATAGGCACTAACAATTTCAATCTTTACTGCCAAATCTTTTGACCCAAAGCTATGTACTCCCAGGGAAAAGGGTTCCGTTTTACCTCTTTCTTAGATATTAGAGGAAATGGGCAACCCAAGGGTAAGAAGAGAGCCAGAGCAGAGACTCAATTTTCCAGGGAAACCCATGAAACTGATCGGCCATCCCTGGGTAGTCAGGTCTGACAGGCATAGACTCATAAGTAAGAGCTTAAACTTGATCAACATGTAAATTTCATAGGTTTTGATTGCAGGCAGAGCTGGGCATGTAGCCTGGAACTTACAGGGCTCCTGGCAGCTCCCAACAGGATAGACAACAATCTGCTTTGATGAAGAGAGGGAATCTAGTAAGCTAAAGCTTCAATTTTTTAACCTGTTAAGTTCCAAGTTTAGGGGGCTGGGGTGGTAGCTCAGTGGTAGAGCACTTGCCTAGCATGTGTGAGGCACTGAGGTTTATTCTTAGCACTGCATATAAAGAGATAAATAAAATAAACATCCAGCAACAGCTAAAAAAATATTTTTAAAAAAGTCCCAAGTTTTCAATTCTGTAAGCATAGTAAATAGTCAAATATTATTTCAAAGTTACCATAAGTGGTAAGTTCTTATATGTGTTCCACATCTGGGATGACAGGAAAAAAATGGGTTAAATTGTTACTGCCTACTTTTTCTTTTGGCAGTTTTTCCATTTGGTTTTGTTTGTTTGCTTGCTTGCTTTTGGGGACCCAATTGCTTGGTGACTAACATTTATTCACTTTTTCTATCTCTAATTATGATGTGCTGTATCAGTCCTCCTGGTCCAAGATAAAGACATCCTCACAGGTATTACACTTTCCTGAACATCAGCCTATGTTTCTCTTGTGTCTCTCCCAATTCACTTCCCACTTGTTACAATAAAGAGGTGGTCGTCATTTGCAATGAGTCATATGTTTGAGCTCCATGCCACTCTTGGGAGACAAAACATTTCCATTGCTAAAAAGATTCATAAACAAAGGAAGGAAAAACATTTAAAAATTTCAGATTTTCCTTTGCAAACCTATAAAGAGCAAAAGTTAAAGCATTATTCATTTACTGAAATCAGTCTAAATCAATAAATAAAATTATTGTGATCCATCTATAAAATTTACTCAATGTCTCTCCCTGGTGATTTTTTTTTTTTTAAAGACAAAGCCCATCAATTATGAGCAGGAGTTTGGTGAGCATAAGCTTAGAATGGAAGCCAAGCAGAGCCAGAGGAACTGGAAACTCAAGAAACTGACCTCCTTCCATGGTGTCCTTTTCCCTAACTCACCTCCCTGGCACTTTTTTTCAGTTATTGCCACCACCTCCTGAATGCCATTCTCACGTGGCCAAGTATGGTCTCAGCACTGCCATGTGAATATCCCACTGTCATTGCCTCAATATACCAAAGAACTCAGCCCTCATTACCCCACATCATTGCCATACTCGATCCATTCTTGAATTTAATAGCATTGCTGGTAACACCAGCCAAATAATTCCAATTGAGAACTTCAGTGCATTAGACTCTTCTTGCTGCTATAATGAAGTACCATAAATTTAGCAGCTTAAAACACAAATTTGTTATCACAGAGTTCTACAGGTAATAAGTCTAGCACACATCTTTCTAGCCTGAAGTCAAGGTCAAGGTGATGACTGGCGAAATTCCTTTCTGGAGACTTTAGGAAATAATATATTTCCTGCTTAATAGGGTTATTGGCAGAATTCAGTTCCTTGAAGTTACAGGACTGAGGTTCTCATTTTCTTGCTGTGACAAATTGAGGGTCATGCTAAGTCTAGAAGCAACCCATGTTTCTTGCCTCATTCCTCCATCTTCAAAGCCAATGACAATGGGAAAGGGTTGGGGAGTCCTTCTCATGTGCCATAATTCCAATTCACTTCCTCATCACACTTTAAAAAAACTCACATGATAACTGGGTCTACGCAGGTAATCCATGATAACATCCCTATTTCCTATCTCCCTGTGGTCCTTAACTTTAATTATACCCACAAAGTCCCTTTTCCATGTAAGTTTTCACCCTGTCTTATAAAATTGGAAGTTTTAAAAGATGACCCCTTTATGTCAATTTTCCGGTCCTCTAAAGCATGCTCTGACTACAGAAGAAGATGGAGATGGCTCTCTCCTCTTTATATCTTAAAGTATTAATTGACTACAGGAGTCACTTGGCATTGGATATATATTATTTAACATTCACACTGTGTCTTAGTCCATTTTCTGCCACTATGACAGAATACCACTGGCTGGGTCAATTATAAACAATAAAAATTTATTTGGCTCATAGTTCTGGAGGCTGGGAAGTCCAAGATTGAGGGGTTGCATCTGGTGAGAACCTTCTGGCTGTGTCATAACCTGGCAGAAGGGTAAGTGAGCTCATGAGATAGAGAGATATTAACCCATTCCCATGAGAATGGCAGCATTTATCTATTCATGATTGCAAAGCCCTCATGACCTAGTCACCTCTCAAAGATCCCACTTTTCAATACCATCATGATAGCCTTCTAATTTCAACATGAGATTTTCACAGGAATTCAAACAATAGCACACTGGATAAATTATTTTTCCAACTACATACTAAGAAGCTTGATGCTTTATTTATTTTCCTTCAAGAATCCAGTCCAGCATCTTGTTCAAAAGTATTTTTAGATGAACTGATGAAATAATTAAGAAATCTCTATCATGGTAGAGCACTTGCCTAGCATGAGACCCTGGGTTTGATCCCTAGCATTGTGAAAAAAGAAGAGGAAGAAAAGAAGAAATCTCCATCATCGGGATCAAGCCAGGAACCTATGATAGGCACTTCAAGAGTAGGAATTTAACTCAGGGAAATAGTGCAAAGGTGAAGTGCTGGAGCAATCCACAGAGGTCAGGTACTTCCAGGGATGGAGGAAGAAGGAGGGAGGTGAAGTTACTAGATCCCAGAGAGGAAAGCCACAGAGCATGAGCTGAGACCACAGAGGGGGCTGTCCAGTGAGATGGAATCATGGAAGACGCACAGCCCACTATTAGAGATGCCAATCAGGGGGAGAAATGCCCCAAATTCTTCCTTTCCTCCTGCAATCCCATCTCCTGCCATTGCTGCCCATTGGCCACAC